AAAAATCATTTGATCCATTCTTAATTCAAATAGCTCTTTTTGACAAGTTAAATTCATAATATTCAAGTAATTTTCCTTTTTTTACTAAAAATAAGATTCTTATTATAAGTATTAGACTTATGAAACTTTAACCCTTAAAATAAGAGCTATTTTTGAGCTGAGTAATTGTTTCGTTTAACTATTTCCACAGGTCTCCTTATATTGTAAACTAGGTTCAAGTCACATTCTTTTTTAATAAATCTTCTTTTTCTAATCATCATGTTTCTTGTTTTTTTTCTTTAACAGTCCTCTTTTTATGTTTAGTGAATTCAATTGTTTTAGACACTTATCAGAAATAGGTTAAGGAATTTCATCTCTTTCTAGAGATTTTGAGTTATAATTTATGTGTAAATATTATTAATATCATTAACAAGTAATTGTACATCTTTTATGTCTTTAGTTAATTTATTAAATTAATATTTGTTTTCCTTTTAAGAATTTTGGACAGATGATAGTTAGTTTTAATAAAATTATATTCAGCTTTTCAAATAATCAGATACTATTGTTAACGTTCTTGTATATTCATAAAAATTCTAATTCTCTCTATATAAATTATATTTTTTAAATGATAGATTAATCAATTTTAATGACGTATTTAAAAATCCTAAATCTTAAAAAAATCTCATTTAAATAAGAATAATATTGAAGCACTTATATAATAATTTTAGAGCAAGAGAGAAATCTATTTCCTTTACTAAAATAATGAAATATCACTAGCAGGAAACAATTATTTTTATCTTAACTTGAAGTTTTAAATATGTTAAGATATCATACTTTATAATAGTAAAAAGTGAATGTAATAATAATATTAAGACTTTAATAATAACTCAATTTAGGGATGAGTTTTTTAAGCTAAATAATTTAAATCTTTAATATCATAAGAGTTTTCGAAGGATCAAAGAATTAATAAAGAATCAATTAACATAAAAGTACAAAAATATTCATTCACATGTGAGACTTAATAGTTTTTGTTCCTACTATCTTCTCATCAATTCTGATGTAATTTAGTTGAATCAAAAAATTTGATGATATTTTATTTCTTTATTTCTTCTAAAAGTATTTATAATTAAGTCAATTAATACAATTTAATGATGCCTGATAATTTTAATATTCAATATAAATTATAATATATAATCTAGAATTTAATTAGTTTTTCAATGAAAATAATAATTTCAGAAATAATCTAACTTATTTAAATTTTTATTGAAATTAAGCTATTAAAATCATTTAGTTTATTAATTTTTACACATTTGGACTTTTTGAATTGTACTTCATAATAATTATTATCCCAAGTTATTAGGTATATTCAATCTTCACATGAAGTTTGAGATATCTCTCCTTTATCAAAATTTATTGCTTTTATAAGTGTGCACTCTAAATCTTAATTTGATGAATAAAGATTTATGAATCTTATAAAACTCACATATTTTTCATTTTTTTACAAAAAAGGAGCCATTTTTATTAATAAATCAATTAGAATATTTAGCAAGATTATTGACATATAAATAGAATAAACCTGATTATAAATTAAATATGTTATAATCAAGAACAAGATATAATCCTAATTAACGTAGAGAATATCATTAGCAATAAATTAATTCATAATCCTTTCCATTATGATTATATTTTAGTGTCATTATGTATTTCTGTTGATTATTGGATCCAATGATGATTAAATCTTCTAAAGAAGAATTCAACAATAAAAAATTATTTAGGGAATATTTTCTGAATTATTCAAGAAATTTAAGAATTAAGATTTAAAGTATCACTATTATTTGAAGCTGTAACAATAAATTATTATTATTCGAAGAATTAAATTATGGTAACTGAATATCAAGGTTATGAAAGTATTTGAATTAATTTTAATGATTCATTATTAAATTTGAATACTTTGAAATGGTTTAAGGCAATATATATTTTTTGTATATAATTAAATAATCAAAAATTCTTTATCAATTTTTAAATATACTAAATATATTAAAATTAGAGATATTATCTAAGGTTAATTGTAGTTATATGACATGGATATATATAATTACAAAAGTTTGATTGGACACTTTTGAATAATCAAAATAGCTAAAGTTTTTAAGTAAAAAAGCAGTTAATTTGATTAATTAAATATCGATAAAATAGGGTTCTATTAAAAGATTATAAAGTTAATATGTATTTTCAAGAGCTAATTTAACATTTAAAAAATGCAACAAATAAATCATAATAGGATTCTGTCTTACACTATTTTAATAAACTTTTTTCTGTAACACAAAAATGATCCCTCATAGGATAATTTATATACAAATAAAATAGTATTCATAAACTCTCTTATATCGATGATTAAGAAATTTAGAATACTTTTTTGATTTCTTTTTTCTTATATTCATATAATACTAGTAATTCATAAAGTTAAGTTTTAATTTAATTCTAATAAGCAATTAAAGTTGAAATGATTAATGAGATTAAAAAATATCTATATGAATCAAGAATGTTGATATTAGGAAAAAAGATTAAATAATAATATTTTAATGAATTTAATTTTTAATATATATTCTATATTTTTATTAACAATTTATTAGCTAAAATTCAATTAAAATTAGATTTTAAATTAACTCAGTGATTTAAATTTAGAATCTTGAATTTAGCATTTAAGTGAGAATTCCGATGAAAGGTTTTACTTAATCATCATAGGTGCTTAAAATCAATATCCATCTGGACAGAAGGCTCATTAGAGAAAAAAATAACGCCATAATCATTATACTAATTTATCACTCCAGTTTACTTAAGCTACAAATTAACAATTAAGTAATGGCAAGCTTCCATTAAAGAGACAATTAATTACTCTAAATTTATTAATTTATATCACAAATTATAAATTTATATATAATTCAAAAAATGAAAATATAAATATAAATTAATTCATTCTGTAGCTATAAATTTCTTTTCTGTTTATATTTGTCAGATCGATTCTTAAGAATTAGAATATAATTTCTTTACCAATGAAATCAATCCTTTTTGATAATTGAATCAATTATTACTCCTATTTGATTACAGGTATAAACACTTTCCTAGTATGCTCATAGAATTGATAGAAATTCTTTTTTAACTTGAATTTTAAGGAAAAATTATTCTTAAAATTTAGAAATGACAGATTTAAATTTATTAACTTATCATACTCTTTTATATTTGTCTCTGTTTTTTTGCTACGTTAATCATCTATTTCAATTTCTTTTACTACTTAATCCGTTTATTTTCTACTATAATATTATAATTTGATATGATGTTATTTTATATGGAAATTTTGACCAATATTGTGTAATTAATTAAGCTATTGAAGTAATTATAATTTATGAATATATTGCTAATTATACTTAATTCAATTCCTAGATGTATTTTATTTTGATATTCGACTTATATAATGAGATTTAAATTATTCTTTTCCAAAATGGACTTCGAATGAATATATGAAAGTCAAAGTATTATATAGTAGAGAGACTAGAATCATGAGAATTTAAAAGTAAATGAAAAAATAAAACTAAAATCTAATTTAACTGAGTTGATTGAATTAATGATTAAGAAATATAAAAAAATACTGATAAATCAAAATTTTGAGATTAGTTAAAATTTTTAGTTGATCGATATTTATAGAAAGTTTAATTACTATGTTGTTAACAAATTTTATTTTGGATTACAAAAAAGAATATAGCAAAACATAAGTAAATAAATATAATTATTTAATATAATCAAGGATATGTTTGAATTCCCATTTTCCTTATAATCTTTTCTCCCATATGATAAAGTGACTATAACCACATGATGCCAATACAGTTTCAGATGAATTAAAACTGAGNAGTTTACTTAAGCTACAAATTAACAATTAAGTAATGGCAAGCTTCCATTAAAGAGACAATTAATTACTCTAAATTTATTAATTTATATCACAAATTATAAATTTATATATAATTCAAAAAATGAAAATATAAATATAAATTAATTCATTCTGTAGCTATAAATTTCTTTTCTGTTTATATTTGTCAGATCGATTCTTAAGAATTAGAATATAATTTCTTTACCAATGAAATCAATCCTTTTTGATAATTGAATCAATTATTACTCCTATTTGATTACAGGTATAAACACTTTCCTAGTATGCTCATAGAATTGATAGAAATTCTTTTTTAACTTGAATTTTAAGGAAAAATTATTCTTAAAATTTAGAAATGACAGATTTAAATTTATTAACTTATCATACTCTTTTATATTTGTCTCTGTTTTTTTGCTACGTTAATCATCTATTTCAATTTCTTTTACTACTTAATCCGTTTATTTTCTACTATAATATTATAATTTGATATGATGTTATTTTATATGGAAATTTTGACCAATATTGTGTAATTAATTAAGCTATTGAAGTAATTATAATTTATGAATATATTGCTAATTATACTTAATTCAATTCCTAGATGTATTTTATTTTGATATTCGACTTATATAATGAGATTTAAATTATTCTTTTCCAAAATGGACTTCGAATGAATATATGAAAGTCAAAGTATTATATAGTAGAGAGACTAGAATCATGAGAATTTAAAAGTAAATGAAAAAATAAAACTAAAATCTAATTTAACTGAGTTGATTGAATTAATGATTAAGAAATATAAAAAAATACTGATAAATCAAAATTTTGAGATTAGTTAAAATTTTTAGTTGATCGATATTTATAGAAAGTTTAATTACTATGTTGTTAACAAATTTTATTTTGGATTACAAAAAAGAATATAGCAAAACATAAGTAAATAAATATAATTATTTAATATAATCAAGGATATGTTTGAATTCCCATTTTCCTTATAATCTTTTCTCCCATATGATAAAGTGACTATAACCACATGATGCCAATACAGTTTCAGATGAATTAAAACTGAGTGATTTAACACTATTACTATGTTAATTTAAGGAATACAGATAAGTCAGATCATTCTTTAAAAATCAATTTACCATACTATTATTTTATGATCACTCCCTCCTGAAATTAGTTGATCCTCCTAATCATTTAACATTAAACAATTAACACTGCCACTATGTTATTTAAATGGTTGTGAGTATTTCCACTCATTTTGATTAATTTATTGACAACAAATAATTTCATGATAAGCACAACCAGAAATAAAGTTATTGGTCTTTTTACTATAAACCAAACATTTAATAGGATTTCTATGTTTACTATAAGAATTAGATAATTAAAATCTTCCTATTTCAAAATTCCAAATTTTAATATCACAAATTTAAGTTGTAATAATAATTGATCCATCTTAATTGAACACTATTGAGTAACATTACGAACTCTATTAATTTTTATCATCAATTAATTAAAAATGAACTTATTTATGCATCATCAATTATTATTCCAATTACTTCTATTCATTATCAACTTAATTACTTCCTTTTATTTCTATCTAATAAATTATTTCTTTTTACTTCATTCAAAAGATTATCAGATTATTTGATTTACTAATTTTTAGTATCAATTTCTTCTGTTAAAATATTATTTTCTTGCTCTTCTTAAATTATTTTCTATTCAAAGTTAGTTTAGGTTAACTTTTACTAATTAACTTCAATTCTATTTTGGATAATCTTATTAAGCAAAGGTTTTAAACTCTCATGAGTTTGTTATGAGTTATCAAATTTTGAGATAGAAAATTCAGGTAATTAAGGTATTTCAAGTTTAGATTTAACTGTGTGAGTTACTTATCTAAAGGGAATAATAAAAATTGAGTCAATTAATTCATCAATTTCAGAGAAATTAGACTAGAAAATAATAGAAAATGAATAACTTCTATTTGACAACCTAATTCTAAGAAGCTTTTTTCAATTTTAGACATTGTGTATTGGATGATTTATGATGAAGATAATTGCATTTATTTATATGAAGTTACTTTTTAGAATCAAGCACAATTTCTTTTACGGTGTTTTTTTTAATTTCATTCCTGTAAAACTAAATGCTTAAAATAATTGAATGAACTTAATGATATTTCTAGAAACAAGTATTGATAAAGAAAAATAAAATAAAGGCTAAAATACTCTACATTAATTATATCATCTAGTTTTTTTACTAAGTTAATGTATACATTCGTTTTTTTTAAATTATTTGATGATGATAATTTAGAAAAAATCATTATAATATATTTATTGGCGATTAAGAATATTAAAATGATTAAGCCAAATCTTCTAGTATTTGAAGTATGGTACTTTAGTTCTTAGAAATATTTGCAAAATAAATCTGAAAAAGTATTAAACTAGAATATAACAAAAAAAAATAAAAAGCCGAAAGAAGTAAAGATTAAAAAATGAATTTCCTTATTGAAATTATTTCAAAAGATTACTTATTTGATATTTATAATATATTTTATATTATCAATCAAGATAGTTAATTTGTTAAAATAGTAATAATATTAGATCTATACATATGTAATTTATAGAGTGTGACAAATTATATTTTACCAAATTAAAAGGGAAGAATTAGGTTGTGCCAATATTTGCTTCCTAATTTAAAATTCGTGTTTAATCATTCTAGTTGTACACAGATAGAACCTGAATCTTGGGAAAAAGGTTGAGAGCAATTGATTGTTGGATATATAATAATTTTAATATATAAAAAATTAATGATTACGATGGAAATCTTTTTCCAGATTTAGAAAAAAAAAATACCAAACAATTTCAATAGGATGTCTCAATCGAATGAAGGACAAGAGAAAAATAAATGATATGATGAAGAAATTAAGTTGTTAAAAGGTCTATACTCTAATTTGTACTATGCTAATCCAATAATTTGAAAAGATATTTTTAATAATTAGAAATCTCTAAGAAAATTTGATGAAAAAAGTTAAATAATTTTAAACAAAATAAGTTTAATAAGATTACTGGAAAGCTCATATTTTATTTAATAAGAATCAAATGTAATTGATAAATAGAAATATTTTTATAATAATTATTTTCTCAATTTTTATAAAAGTTTTATTCTAGACTTTTTAAAATCTCTTTAGCTTTAAATTTTTAATTTACACTAAGAAGTAAATATTAGATTATGATTTTACAATTAACCGTTTTAATAAAATACTATTGGAAAACAGTGACTTTTCACCCAACTAAACATTTTTTAATATATTCATACTTAAATCAATTTTTTTTTAAGTTTGATTGTAAAATTTAAGGCTTGACTTCTGTTAAAATATTCAATCAAAGTCATAGGAAATATCAAATACTTAATGATTAATTTTGGCTCTTCAAAAAAATTTCATTCACTATTGAATTATTTCTCTTTCAATATCTAATTGGTTTCTTGAATTTCATTAATTGCGTTCTTATTAGTAGAATTTTCTGATAAATAATCACTAATCATTAATCATAAATAAATAATTTTAATTCATGTATTGGATTTATTACTGATTTTAAAATGTCTTTTTATTCATTTATGTTTTAATGAAATTCCATACTTTGCAATTCAAATTTATTAATTGATAATAGAGCTTGTGAAAATTGTCTTTTTTATTTATAATTGGCTATTTAGAAAATCTTTTTTTTTTTTACACACTGTTTTCATAACTTTCTAATTTAACTTTTAATTAGTCTACTTAGATTATTTCATTAACTGCTAAATCTATTAATTTTTTCTACAATTTTTTCAATAATTAAATGAAATAATTAATAACTTCAACAAGAATTCATTAATTAATGGAATTAATTGAAATTATCAAATGCCTTTTATTATTATGATATATTTTAATCTATCTTTATTATTTTTTCATTTATTAATTTCTATTTTATTCATTATTGCAACATAGATTACTAATTTAAAATTTTAATTCATACAATTCCAAAGGAAATATTTTTTAATTTATATGGTACATCCATAACATTGTAGTTGAATTTGATTAATTTAATGAATAGCAGACCAAAAGTAATGTAAATTAAATATTTTCTCATAAATTTTTTCTTCGAATAGATGAATTTGATAAAATCTTTTTTGATATATGTTCTTAAATATTCAGATTAATAATGTTTTTATCTCCAATCTAAAAGATTAAAAAAGTATTTCATTGCATGCAATACTAGAAATTTAGGAATTGGAACAGGTATTCTTAATGTTTGTCTCTTGCTTTTTCACTTTGGTAATTATTTGATTTTTTGACAACTCTCATAGTAATAGGAAATTAAAATATTTTACTTCTATTTTATTTAGAAAATTGATAAAAACAAAAAAATAAAATAACAATAATTAACATCCATCTTTTTTTCGAAATTCACAATTTCAAATAAAAATAAATCAAAAATATATACTCTTAATAATTATAATATGAGTTTTAATCAAATTAGCAAAAATATTTAATTGGAATTCGCTTTCAATAATCCATGGGATTTTCGATTATTTTACTATTTTTAAATAAAAAAATATTAGTGAGAAGAATCGAAGACTAGCTGAACACAAATCATAGCAAGAAATAATGGCTTTGAGGGAGTAAACTACGTAATTTTCTAAGAAAATATCGGCTAAAAATTTCATTTATGGAAAAATATTATAAAAGTATATTTCAGACAAAAATTGCGGCTTCAATTTATATAATATTTAGAATTATAAATCATTATATTATAATAAATTTTAGAGAATTAATAATATTATACTATATTTTAATTATCGAAAAATTGTATTATAAATTTTATAGAATTAATTAATTGAATAATCACAAAACATAATATTTAATTTTTTAGATATAAAATGTTATAATATAATTAAATTATCAAAAAACATAATGATATAAAATCAATAGATGAACAAATATCATTAATTAAAATATATTACTTTATTTTTATGAACAAATTTCACATATGAACTATGAATTTTTTTAGAGATAAAGCATTAATTTAAATGAAAACTAAAAAATCCAGTTTTATTTGCTTGGCTTGAAGTTGATTCATTTTTGAAAGATTAGTTGTAAATATATAGGTAATTTTATTAAGCTTAAAATAAATTAAAAAAATATATATTTGCTTTATTCCTGATGAATCTATTCAGAATAATTGTTTTTTTGGATTAAGATGCTAAATTTGAACTGGGATGTTAGATTTACTTAATTGTCATTTTATTTTCTTTAAAATATTTTCTTAATGTTTATTTCAAAAATAAAAATAAATTGTCCAATAATTAATCTTGAATCGAAATATTAATCGATTTTTATGAAAATCAATAATTTATAACATAATCTAAATTAAATCATTAATCATAATTCAATTTTCAATATATAAACTTCTGTTTCAATATTATTCAATAATATTACCTGTAGAATTTCTACTTTTGTTTGTAAAATATTAATTATTAATTCTTTTTCAGATTAAACAATATCTGCAAATATTACACTGAAATTTACAATATTACTTTGATTAAGACAATAATTTGAATAAGAAATTTAAGCATTATCACATTAATTACAATTTCTTAAAAAGCTGTCAATTTTAATTTTTTCTTAACACTTAACTGAAATCAAAAAAGANTGCTAGAATTGATGATGTTCTTCTAATTGAATTATCAAACAACATTATATTTAATTTTCTAGATATAAAAATGTTATACTTTAATTGAATTATCAAAAAACATTAGAATAAATTTTAAAGAATTATTAATGTAGTAATTAAATTATCAAAAAATTATATTTAAATTTATAGAATTTGATATGTTTAATTTTATAAAATTAACAATTTTATACTCCATTTAATTATCATTAAACATTATAAATAATTTATTAGAATTAACAATGAAATGATATACTAAAATTTAATTATCATAAACATTATATTTAATTTTATAGAATGGAAAAAGTTATCTATCAATTTAATTATCATCAACAAAATATTTAATTTCATAGAGTTAAAAAGTTATACTTCCATTTGATAATAATTAATATTTTTAGATTAATTATTTACAACTAAACAATAGATTAGTTGTAACTACATTTTTTGAGAATTTAATTTTATCTGTCAGCTCAAAACATAAAATTATGTTTAAATCATTTCAGTTATATATTATTTTTAAGCTATAGTTAATGTAATTGAAAAATCACTTACTGAATGTATTATAAACATACTTTCTGTTGTCGAAAATTATCGCATCACAATAAATTTTAATAAAGTACTCTTTATATTTTTTTTAATTAGAACCACTTTATAAATACATTATAAGTTATTCAATTAATTGATAAAAGAGAATTTTATATAAAGGTTTCATTTTCAAAATAATTTAAAGAAATGTAACTATTCATTAAGAATCATCTGCATTAATGAATTGATTAGATATATTAAGCTTCATTGTTAAATTTTGAAAATGTAACTTGATTTCCACAGGTTCATAATTTATGGACCAAATTGTAAGAATTTAATATTTTAGTTATTTTCAGGTTAAAATTAGGAGGTCGGAAATCTTCTTAAATGCTTAATTTAATTATTATCAAATAATAACTTTTTGAATAGTATACCAATTATTATGGATAATCCAAATACTTAATGATTATGTTCATGAATAGTTAATGAACAAGATCAACTAGATGATAATGAATAAGACCAAAATCTAAATTTCTTATCAACAGATCCACTAATAATAAGATCTTCTTTATTAGGATTCACAACTAAACATGAAATACCTCTAAGATGACCTTAAAGTTTTGTAATATATTTGAGATTTTATAAAAGAAATTTGGGCTAAATAATCATTGATGAATCATATTAACCAGAAATAAATTATGATTTGGATAGAGTATAAATGCATTTTAGCTTATTGCAATTATTTTATTTCATTTTTTAAATTAATTATTTTGGAATCAAGACTAAATCCCAAAACTAACAGAATATTATTATTTTTGATCGCTTATGCTAAACTATGTTTAGGATATTTCTAGTTTATTGAAAACAGAAGCTTATAACTGATTATGATTGGATCATAATTGAATTATTTTGAAAAACGTTCAACTCCACATATTTATTTAATATAAATAATCAATTATATAAATGGAAATATTAATGTTAATATTAATTATAAATAATGAAAAAAAATTGGAATATTCCATAATCATATATTTAAAAATATTTTGAATTATTTATTAAATTCTAGAGATTAAGTTTATTTTATGAATTAAATTAATCTAATTATTTTTTATTGAATTGCATATATAATTTTAAATAGATATTAATTCATTAAAAATACTTAAGATTATAATTCTTTCATTTAAATGGAAACTAAATATCCAGATGAGATTATCACTTAGAATAAGAAATTCATATGTCCAAAATGCCTTCTTGATATAATTCGAACAAAACATTGCTCTTTATGATGAGGCATAATAAATGATTAAGGACATGAAGAATAAATCAGAATTGCGGAAAATTAAACTTTAGAATAAGAAATAACTCTAAAATTCAACTGAACAATTTAGGGACTTATCAAGTATACAATTAAGTAAATTATAATTATTAAATAATTGAGAATTAAAATGAATTAGATACAACAGATTCATAAATATTAACCTTTGGAAGAATATTCAAATTTATCAACAAATTTTAAAGAAAATGAAGAGTTCAAAATGTCTGTTTAAAATATAGACAAGAGTAAATAATCTTAATTTTTTGGTTCAAATAAAGGAATCATTAATATAACTAAAAAGTTCTTAACAATTTTAATTAAATCAATAAATTAATTGAAAATATAGAAAGATAATTATATATTAGTTAAGATACAAAAATAAATAAATTGAAGAATTTGAAAATTAATATAATTATGTTCTAAACATAACTATTAAATTATATCTGTTAATTTAAATTAAGTATTGAATAATGAAAACTTGAATTGATTGGCTTTGTATTTAATGTATTTAAAAGGTTCCTATCTAATAATTTATATTAATTGAAACAAGTAAGAGATAGAATCAATTTGTGGAATATCAAGATGAAATGAAATCAAAATATTAAAGATAAAGAGAATTTAAAATAGTTATTAAATTATTTAAAATAATAATATTAAAAGATACTAACTGATATTATATAATCTTTATATTATTAACTTAATTAAGTTATTGAAGATTCATAATCAATTAAATAAATGGACATAAGTGTCTTTTTATAATTAGTTGAAAAATAAATCTAATAAATTCTAAGTTTGAAGGATTAGCATCATTCTCTTAAAACTATATAAGAAAATATAGATAAAGATTATTCATAATTTTAATAATAATTAAAATCAAAGTTAAAAATTTAATTTAATAAGAATTAATTATCAAAGAAAAATTGATTAAAATCTCTAATAATAATTAAAGTGGTAATGAAATTATATTATATTATATTAATAGAATAATTAGATGAATCTATATATAAAAGAATATCCAAATATTACCTAATCTCTTTAAAATTGTAGATTTCAATCATGATATTTATAATTGTTGAAGATTCATTAAATTAATAAAAATTTTGAGATCTAAGTAGGGGAATTAAAGAAAAAAAGATAAATGTCTTAAAAAAAATCTGAATCACAATACTTCATTAACTTCATTATTATTAATTTTAATTCTTCTCAAATAAAATGAAAACATTAATCAAAGCAGATGATGCTGAAAAGTCTTTAACACAATTATAATAAGAAAAACAAAATAAATTTCAAGAAGAAACTTAAGCAAATGAATAAAATTAATTGGAACTGTAAATTCTATAAAACTAAAATGCTTCTTAATAATAAAAATTAACTGTTAAAGGAGAAGAATTAATTTAACAAATTTCATAAGCTAAATCATAGGAATAAACTTTATGATAATAATTCTCGGAACAAACATATTAATAATAGAAGACCTTGTCAATAGAATTAAAGGATAAAGAATTCAAGAACTTATATGAAGTAATTTTACAAATATACTTATTAATAATTTAAGAATTTATATTCCATCTTACATAGAGTAATTAGATTAAATATTTGAATTCAACTGTATAATTAAATCTGACTTAAGAAAATATTATTTTATTAAAAGATGATTAATATTCTAAACTACTTAAAAAATAGAAGATAAAGCTAAAAAGAAAATCAAAAATTAATATTTGATTTATTGCGCTTCTAAAGATGGATTTAAATGAGAATCCTTTTGGAAATCTATAAATGGCATGTCAAATCTACTTATGTTATTCAAATAAAAATATAATCATATTTTTGGAGGATATTCACCTTGTTAATGGCATGTGGAGTCCATTGGTTTATATGTAGCTGATTATAAATTGTCCTCATTATTATTTTCTTAGATCTATAATAAACTATATCCTTTCTAATCTGTTAAGATGATAAATGCAATTTATTATCATAAGAGTTATGGTCCAACTTTTGGAGCAGGTCGTGATTTACACATTACTATTGATTTTAATGGTGGATGTTCTAATATTGGAAATACATATAAATAGGATGATTATTAAAATGCATAAAGCACTTTTTTTTGTTTAATCAAGCCTTAAATAGTTGAATGCGAATTCTTAATGTTGACATTTATGTGAATAATTAAATATGTATAACTATCACAATTTACAAATGATGAAATTAATATACTTCTTAGAAATTATAAAATATTAATTTTAAAAAATTTTCCTTTACAAATTTCATATATATTTTGATATATACATATAGAAAGTATTTACTAACAAGGAATAGTGATATCAATTTTAATTATGTATAAGAAAAATAATAACAAGTTTAATCTAATGTTACAATAATAAATAATTATTTCTTTTCTAAAATTAGTCGGTCCTAAGGGCTGCTTTGTCCCTTTAGATAGTTATAAGATTTATTTATAAATATAATTTTAATGGAAACTTAATGATTATATATTCTAATTGGGACTCTTTTTATTAGGTTTAATAAATTAAAAATTGTATATTAGGATATATTTATATGAGAAGTTTTCCAGATTGGATTTTTGAATAATTAAATTTCAAATTATTTCCACTTTTGAACTAATCCTTTAACCACTAAACAAATNAATTAAAGTGGTAATGAAATTATATTATATTATATTAATAGAATAATTAGATGAATCTATATATAAAAGAATATCCAAATATTACCTAATCTCTTTAAAATTGTAGATTTCAATCATGATATTTATAATTGTTGAAGATTCATTAAATTAATAAAAATTTTGAGATCTAAGTAGGGGAATTAAAGAAAAAAAGATAAATGTCTTAAAAAAAATCTGAATCACAATACTTCATTAACTTCATTATTATTAATTTTAATTCTTCTCAAATAAAATGAAAACATTAATCAAAGCAGATGATGCTGAAAAGTCTTTAACACAATTATAATAAGAAAAACAAAATAAATTTCAAGAAGAAACTTAAGCAAATGAATAAAATTAATTGGAACTGTAAATTCTATAAAACTAAAATGCTTCTTAATAATAAAAATTAACTGTTAAAGGAGAAGAATTAATTTAACAAATTTCATAAGCTAAATCATAGGAATAAACTTTATGATAATAATTCTCGGAACAAACATATTAATAATAGAAGACCTTGTCAATAGAATTAAAGGATAAAGAATTCAAGAACTTATATGAAGCAATTTTACAAATATACTTATTAATAATTTAAGAATTTATATTCCATCTTACATAGAGTAATTAGATTAAATATTTGAATTCAACTGTATAATTAAATCTGACTTAAGAAAATATTATTTTATTAAAAGATGATTAATATTCTAAACTACTTAAAAAATAGAAGATAAAGCTAAAAAGAAAATCAAAAATTAATATTTGATTTATTGCGCTTCTAAAGATGGATTTAAATGAGAATCCTTTTGGAAATCTATAAATGGCATGTCAAATCTACTTATGTTATTCAAATAAAAATATAATCATATTTTTGGAGGATATTCACCTTGTTAATGGCATGTGGAGTCCATTGGTTTATATGTAGCTGATTATAAATTGTCCTCATTATTATTTTCTTAGATCTATAATAAACTATATCCTTTCTAATCTGTTAAGATGATAAATGCAATTTATTATCATAAGAGTTATGGTCCAACTTTTGGAGCAGGTCGTGATTTACACATTACTATTGATTTTAATGGTGGATGTTCTAATATTGGAAATACATATAAATAGGATGATTATTAAAATGCATAAAGCACTTTTTTTTGTTTAATCAAGCCTTAAATAGTTGAATGCGAATTCTTAATGTTGACATTTATGTGAATAATTAAATATGTATAACTATCACAATTTACAAATGATGAAATTAATATACTTCTTAGAAATTATAAAATATTAATTTTAAAAAATTTTCCTTTACAAATTTCATATATATTTTGATATATACATATAGAAAGTATTTACTAACAAGGAATAGTGATATCAATTTTAATTATGTATAAGAAAAATAATAACAAGTTTAATCTAATGTTACAATAATAAATAATTATTTCTTTTCTAAAATTAGTCGGTCCTAAGGGCTGCTTTGTCCCTTTAGATAGTTATAAGATTTATTTATAAATATAATTTTAATGGAAACTTAATGATTATATATTCTAATTGGGACTCTTTTTATTAGGTTTAATAAATTAAAAATTGTATATTAGGATATATTTATATGAGAAGTTTTCCAGATTGGATTTTTGAATAATTAAATTTCAAATTATTTCCACTTTTGAACTAATCCTTTAACCACTAAACAAATAGATAAGACTAATATATAATTTAATTTTTAGTTTATGAATAGAAATAAAAATAATTTAAAAAATGTTTGTATCTTAAATCAAATACAGGAGTTACATTTATTATCTTAAATATTTTCATTATTTTAGCTAGGACAAAAAGACAAATCAACCTAATATATAAAATTCAGTAATGATCGATAAGTATATCTGATCATGTTATTAAGTATTTTAAAGAGGTTTAAATATGTTATATTATAAAACCTTGTATTTAAATAATCCTTCATTTTACTATTCTATAACAAAATAAAGAATATCTTAACCATTTTTTTAATCTAAACAAAAAATCTAAGATTCTTAAATGAAAATCCGCTCAAAAATACACTAAATTTTACATAACTAAATAAATCAAAAATTTTATATATATTCAAAAAGTAAAATGTATTTCTCATTATTTTACCATTTCAAGTAAAATTATAGTTTTGTTAATTACAATTGTTTTTTAAATATATCTATCTTCTTCAATTTATTACAAAACAATTTACTATTCATATTCCTTTATTATTATAATGATTCAATTATAATATATGGATTATTTATACAATTCAATATTAATTGCTCATAGCATTTAATCATTTACTAATAAATTAAATTATTTATTGATATTCTTGGAAATTTGAAATTATGAAAGAAAATTAAGAAATTTCAGCTTTTAAAAAAGAAAATTATCAAAATCATATTTTTCAATGTATTTATTGGTTTTAATCTAATCTTCTAGACTAATTGGAATAAACCAATAAAGATTTTGAATAAATTATCTTAAAAAATAGAATATTCACTCTTATGAAAACTGTAGATTATATTGATATTTTTACAGATCAGGCACTAAAAGCCTAATGGAAACAAGAAATGGCTAATAACCACAAAGTTAATCTTATTTTAATTGTTTAAGATAATAGTTAGTCTTTTATATAGAATTGTAATTTATTAAATTTTATGAAGTTAAAACCTTAATTGAATAAGGAAAATTGGATGATGCTATATAATTATTCGATTAGGGAATTAAAAAGTATTAAAATTATAATAATCTATATCAAAATAAAGGTAAATAATATAAAAATTTTTGCAACTGCTTTAGAGTAATTTAGAAAATAAAGGATTTACGAGAAAAAGGTTTATTACAACAAGCATTTGATATTTGGGATGAAGGAATATATAGTTTTACAATAAAAAAGGTAATTTTGTTTTTCGATGATTTTAGAATTAGGAATAAAATGATATATTACAATAATAAGAAGGCAGTTCTATTTAATTGAAGTACTTGAATTTTGGAATTAATCAATTTAAAAGGAATCAAATAATAAGAATAACAAAATTTTGAATAGATTTTTGAGTTATGGGAAGAAGGAATCAAATATAATTACGATAATATTAACTTTTCTATTGAAAAAGTTAACATAACACTAGAATATATTAAGCGAAGGTTTTAAAATAGTAAATTAGATTTCCAGAGTGTCTAGATATGTGGGATCAAAGTATTAAGATTAAAACTAATGATATCAACTTCGATTTTAAAAAAAAGTAATTAATTTTATAAATTATGTAGCTAAAACTTTATAAACAAAACGAATTATATTATAGAATATCGAGATTCAGTAAACTATAAGATAGATTTTTGGCATTAAGGAATAGAATTAAATAAAAATAATCATTTATTTTATAAAGCGAAGGGTAAATTATAATTAATTTTAGGAGGGAATTTGAAATGAAGTTATTAATTATTATTCAAAAAATTCATTTAATTTGAAATCAGATGAGATTTTAAGAACCCTTGCGATATATATTATTATGAATAAAAAGTCATATATGGATATAATTAATCATATCTTATAATAAAAAAACAAATTTTTTTTAATCAAGAATTGAGTAAATTAGTATTTTATTATTAAATTAGGTAAAGTATTATTTTATTATAATTGAATTTATATTGTAATAAATTCTATTAGGTAGTATAAATGAAGTGATAGAATGTTGGGAATCGGGAATTTTAAACAACAAGCAGAATCTTTATTTTTATTTAGAGAAGGTAATTAAATAAAAGAAGTATTTTTGCAAATGCTCTAGATAAAGATAATTAACATTTTCTTTCTAAAAGATCTTAATAAATTTTAAGAAATTTTTTAATTCTTGGTAAACTTTAATAAAAAGTAATCCTTAAAATAGGAGGCATTATGAGGAACTCACTATTTAAATTTTTAATTCCTTTTAGCAATGATGTTATAAAATAATTTTTTGAATTTAAAATAAATGAATTTGGATAAATAGATAAATTATTGATTTTTGGAAATAAGGAATTTAGAATAATATTAATGATTTTTATTATAATGAGAAAAGAAGTAAAAAAGATAACAATTTAAATATTTAGGTTAAGCTTTACAATCATTTTGAAATTATACTATTCTAATTTAAGAAGAGAGATATCAAGAAGTGACAAAAGGAGTGGAAAATAATAAAATAATTCAATCTTTTACTAAGTAAAAGGTTTAATTAGTTTCAATTATATTTTAAGGCAAAGCTTTATTTATCACAATAAAAATTATAATTACAAATAATCAAAGAAAAGATAATGAAGTTATAGAATGCTGGAATGAAGGAATTTAAAATAATAAACATAATTAATATTATTTAGATCAAAAAAGTAATTTTAATTTACTAAATTTTTAGTTGATTTTTAAAATGTATAAGAGTCAAATATATTAAAAAGTTTGCATAAATTTCAGGAACTAATAATGTTTCTGGATTATCTGATCAATGAAAATAAATGTTAATTAAAATGGTATTAAGAAAAATGTATTATATTTTATTAATTAAAAGATGAGGCATTATTCTATATTGCCTTTTATTTGAATAATAACTTCTTCAAATGTTTAATAAAGCTGTATGCTTTCAGAGAATCATGATTCCAAAATTAAAAAGTTTCTATTATTATTATATGAAAAATGATTTATGATTTGATATCTGATATTTCAATTAATAAAATTACACTTATTATTAATACCTCCTCTCAAAAATCATTTAAATTATATATTAATAAACTATTTTTTAATTATAAATAAAACTAATATATTGTGTCAGTTTATGGTTATATTTTTAATAAATTAAAACTAATGAGTTATTAAATTAATTTATTTTGTTTCGAAAATTTTTTCAAATATTGATCATAATATATATTTTTTATATTTAGAGTACATTTGGTATTATTGGCTCATTTTCAAGAGTTCCAATATATTATCAACCCAATTAGTTGTTAAGATTATTTGTTCTACTTTGAAATTTTAAATAATATTATAAATAAGTTTTATCATTAAATTCTATCATTTTATTTAGCTTAGGAAATCTAATTTAAAAATTGTATTTCTCTAACATAGAGTACTACTGATTATTATTATTTAATACATCCTATGATATTAAAGAATTCTAATTTTTTCATTTATAATATATATAAGTGATTTCTAACTGTATTAATAAGACTCATTTATGCCAGACATCATAGTTTCCACACAGTCGTTGTATTCATCTCTCTTCACCTTCTACTCAAATTTATTTTTCTGTGAAGACGATTAAGAGGGGTAGGTAAGTAATGATTGAAGTATTTAAACTTGAGTAAAGATGGAATTTCATCTTGAATTTAATGCAGGGATCTTTAATTCTAGAATTTCAAAGGAAATGAAAATTCGATTATTCTAAATTTTAAATATTAATGTAAATTCTAAATCAATTATATGAAACAAATTTTAATCTATTATATGAATTATATAATAGGATGTGAAATATTAAATATTAATAAAAAGATGATTAGTTAGATATAAGATTAAGAAAATGATACAGTTTTAATTTATTCTTCTTAATTACTCCTTTTTGATAATTGTATTATCTAAGTTAAATTGTTAAAATTATAATAAATTTACTGATCCTTTTATCATAGGATTATATTTTAACAAACTATTCATAAATCCATACATATATAAGAATNTTATAATGAGAAAAGAAGTAAAAAAGATAACAATTTAAATATTTAGGTTAAGCTTTACAATCATTTTGAAATTATACTATTCTAATTTAAGAAGAGAGATATCAAGAAGTGACAAAAGGAGTGGAAAATAATAAAATAATTCAATCTTTTACTAAGTAAAAGGTTTAATTAGTTTCAATTATATTTTAAGGCAAAGCTTTATTTATCACAATAAAAATTATATTTACAAATAATCAAAGAAAAGATAATGAAGTTATAGAATGCTGGAATGAAGGAATTTAAAATAATAAACATAATTAATATTATTTAGATCAAAAAAGTAATTTTAATTTACTAAATTTTTAGTTGATTTTTAAAATGTATAAGAGTCAAATATATTAAAAAGTTTGCATAAATTTCAGGAACTAATAATGTTTCTGGATTATCTGATCAATGAAAATAAATGTTAATTAAAATGGTATTAAGAAAAATGTATTATATTTTATTAATTAAAAGATGAGGCATTATTCTATATTGCCTTTTATTTGAATAATAACTTCTTCAAATGTTTAATAAAGCTGTATGCTTTCAGAGAATCATGATTCCAAAATTAAAAAGTTTCTATTATTATTATATGAAAAATGATTTATGATTTGATATCTGATATTTCAATTAATAAAATTACACTTATTATTAATACCTCCTCTCAAAAATCATTTAAATTATATATTAATAAACTATTTTTTAATTATAAATAAAACTAATATATTGTGTCAGTTTATGGTTATATTTTTAATAAATTAAAACTAATGAGTTATTAAATTAATTTATTTTGTTTCGAAAATTTTTTCAAATATTGATCATAATATATATTTTTTATATTTAGAGTACATTTGGTATTATTGGCTCATTTTCAAGAGTTCCAATATATTATCAACCCAATTAGTTGTTAAGATTATTTGTTCTACTTTGAAATTTTAAATAATATTATAAATAAGTTTTATCATTAAATTCTATCATTTTATTTAGCTTAGGAAATCTAATTTAAAAATTGTATTTCTCTAACATAGAGTACTACTGATTATTATTATTTAATACATCCTATGATATTAAAGAATTCTAATTTTTTCATTTATAATATATATAAGTGATTTCTAACTGTATTAATAAGACTCATTTATGCCAGACATCATAGTTTCCACACAGTCGTTGTATTCATCTCTCTTCACCTTCTACTCAAATTTATTTTTCTGTGAAGACGATTAAGAGGGGTAGGTAAGTAATGATTGAAGTATTTAAACTTGAGTAAAGATGGAATTTCATCTTGAATTTAATGCAGGGATCTTTAATTCTAGAATTTCAAAGGAAATGAAAATTCGATTATTCTAAATTTTAAATATTAATGTAAATTCTAAATCAATTATATGAAACAAATTTTAATCTATTATATGAATTATATAATAGGATGTGAAATATTAAATATTAATAAAAAGATGATTAGTTAGATATAAGATTAAGAAAATGATACAGTTTTAATTTATTCTTCTTAATTACTCCTTTTTGATAATTGTATTATCTAAGTTAAATTGTTAAAATTATAATAAATTTACTGATCCTTTTATCATAGGATTATATTTTAACAAACTATTCATAAATCCATACATATATAAGAATATAGATTTTTAAAGTAAACTTGATTGTAATATTTATAATAAATTGACATTAAAATACCATACTACATTCATATACTCTAAGTTATTACTTTTATCTGCCTTTGTTGAATTATAATTATTAAATATTATCAGAAATTAGTGAGATGAATATTATCAAACTGAGATAATTATAATAATAGAATTATATAGATGATACATTTAAAACAAACAAATTGAAAAATTTGATTGCCTTAGATTCTCCAAAATTTATTTTTATAATCTAGATTCTATTCAATAATTTATGTAAATTACTTAAATATTTCAAAATTTAATTCATTTCTGTTAATTTTGACTAAATCTTTCTCTCATTTTTTAAAATAGCAATATTTTATTTACTTTAATTATCTATATTTATTATAAAATATTAGAGAGATACTAATACCAAGTTTGTAATATTTCCTTATTTTTTAATTTTATTTAAAATTTTTATTTAATCAGATTACTTGTATATTATGATTATATAGTTATAGTCTAATAAAGTTGATTTATTTAACATTAATATTTCTTAACTTATTCAATCAAATCTTACATATCCTTAATAATTTCATAGTCTCATTCTTTTCTAATTATGCTTAAAAATTATGATTTTACTTCTGATAATTGCTAAATTAGATTTCTATCAATTATCTAGATTCTAAATGGATTAATTTTGATTAAGTTTTGATTTATAATTTTATCTCATTTGAGTAATTTAATTGAATAAATTAGACATTTTATCCTTACTTACAATAAATACTGTTATAATATCTTATGAAATTCTGTCAGGTAATCTATCGGGGTATATTTGCAATTTTCTTATTTTCAAATTCCTTATCAATCATTATAATTTTTTTATTAAATTTGGTCTAACTCAATTTAAGCTTGGCTTTTTCTATTAATTAATAAATAAAAATTACACATTCATTTTTGCTTAACTCTAATGGTAGTAACTCAATTACATTTGTTTCAATAAAATCTTGAGTAGTTTATATGTACTAAGGTCTAAAAATACACCGTATTATTAAAGAATAATTGATATTGTTTTATTATTTCATCAATCAAATTATTATTATTAATCTAACTAAGAAAATTATTTGAAGTTATCTTACTAGATTAATGTTCTTATTTTTCTTATCATATTGAAAACATTTATTATTATATTTATTTAGAAATCTTTTCTAATAAGCCATCAATAGATTGCGTGAAGTTATTTATCTGGCCAAAAATATCAAACACGCATAAATATTGTATTCACAATTTTAGTATTTTTGCTCTACTTTATTTATATCTCGATAATATCAATTTTTAAAAGATAATTTATATCAATGAATTCTATATGCATTGATCTAATTAAGCTTTAATTAGACCCTACTGATTATTTTTAATTTTCAGTTTTGATAATTCAAATTCCTCTCTCTCTCACTATGCAAAATAGTTTTCATTAAAATATTTGATGAATAGAAATTTGATGTCATCAAATTAAATATTGATAAATACTCATATTTATCTTTCAAAGCATAATAATAGAAACAGAAAAAGTGATTTATGATTTTGATTACATTAAAAATATAAAAAAAATTAAATAGATAAAAATTTAGTTTCAAGATTAATTTCATATTTCAAATGCATTAAATAAAATTATTTACTCTACAATTTAATTATAGAGTATCTACTTCATTTAAAAATTTGAATTTTCTATAACAATTAATAACTCTTGAATAGCAACGCTTTCAACAATTAATTCCATTTTGCATTCTATTAACTTAATTTTATTATCACAAGTATATTAAGATGAGAAACTATTCAAAGATCTCTAAAATAACTAAAATTCTAATTATTTCTTTTCATCTTATTAACAAATCAATTGAAAAAAAACATTTATAAATTAGCTTGATTTATCTATGAGTAATCTATAATTTCCATTTTCATTGAAAATTTTGTTCTCTAAATCAAATTTAAGTTGAATAGAAGATTAAATGTCTTAATCTAAATAATTTTTTTAAATTATTTGAATTTTTTTATATCTATAAGATTTAAAGACAGTTGAAAAAGTCTTGGAAATCCAGATTCTGTAATGAAAATTTCTACTAAATAGACTATCTCCTTGTTATTCGTATATTTTAAAAATTAAATTTCCAGGATTCGTGGTTAAATCTTCAGATTGAAATATATTAACACCCTCAATTGGAGTTAAAATAAAACCTACATAAGGGGTTATAAAAAATTTATCTGGTAATATAGGTAAAGTTATTTAATCATCCTTGATAGCATTAAATTTTCCTAAATTAACAAACGAGTCATCTATACCTAAAATGATTTGATAGCCTATTTGCCTCAAATTATTGGTATTTGATATGCCTACAGTAACATCTAAAGGAGTTATTTTGATAATCTCATATATTTATAAGAAAATACTTCAATGATAAAGTTTATTTATTATGAGTAAGAAATACTTGTTAAAATTAGAAAACCATTCAAAGCATTTGGATTATAATGATTAATTGTTTCATTTTTTGGATTTTCTTTATTAAAACAATTAATGACTTATATTCTTTGATCGTTAATTGCATGCCATTTAACATTTACTTAACTAACATCTCTTCGACATTCATAAATAATTATAAAACCTAAATTGATAGTTAATAAATTACTTTATATTGTAATAGATTAAATTTCAAATCGGAAGTCTACTTCATTAGATAGAAATTTTATTGAGGATTGAGTAATAATAATTTGAGGAATTTCTTAAAATTATTTTGGAAAAGTAACTAATTCAAATGGTCCCGAACAATCTAAAAGTTAGTATCCAAATTAATAATCGCTAATTGAAAAGGCTTATAAAATCAATAGATGAACAAATATCATTAATTAAAATATATTACTTTATTTTTATGAACAAATTTCACATATGAACTATGAATTTTTTTAGAGATAAAGCATTAATTTAAATGAAAACTAAAAAATCCAGTTTTATTTGCTTGGCTTGAAGTTGATTCATTTTTGAAAGATTAGTTGTAAATATATAGGTAATTTTATTAAGCTTAAAATAAATTAAAAAAATATATATTTGCTTTATTCCTGATGAATCTATTCAGAATAATTGTTTTTTTGGATTAAGATGCTAAATTTGAACTGGGATGTTAGATTTACTTAATTGTCATTTTATTTTCTTTAAAATATTTTCTTAATGTTTATTTCAAAAATAAAAATAAATTGTCCAATAATTAATCTTGAATCGAAATATTAATCGATTTTTATGAAAATCAATAATTTATAACATAATCTAAATTAAATCATTAATCATAATTCAATTTTCAATATATAAACTTCTGTTTCAATATTATTCAATAATATTACCTGTAGAATTTCTACTTTTGTTTGTAAAATATTAATTATTAATTCTTTTTCAGATTAAACAATATCTGCAAATATTACACTGAAATTTACAATATTACTTTGATTAAGACAATAATTTGAATAAGAAATTTAAGCATTATCACATTAATTACAATTTCTTAAAAAGCTGTCAATTTTAATTTTTTCTTAACACTTAACTGAAATCAAAAAAGAGCTAAATATAATACTTTTATCTATAATTAGCTTTTTTTAACCAATTTCAGTAATAGTTTGATCTAACTCTTCAATGTATAATTACAATGAATTGATAAAATTTTTCTTTTAAACCTTATGATTAATAGATTCTAATATTAGTATATTCTAATGGAGGAGCTTATTGATTTATATAAATTTTTACCAGGAATACATTTACCATCTAAAAATCCCCATTTTTTTAAACAATTATTGCATTAAGTTTCTAATCCTCCATAACAATCTTCACAACCAATTGAACATTTAACTATGTATATATCAAATGATTAAACACCCCAAAATGCGTTTTGTGGCTAATTATTCTCCGTTTACATTACTAATTCTATTTCAGGGGATGAATGATCTATATTTAAGACTAAATTATTGATATTCACTAATTGAGAATTTACACATCCAATAATTAATTAAGACAGAGCATCTTAACCAACCTACCAAATTTACTCACCAATTTTTAAATTAAAATTTTAACTCTCTGTAATTCCCATTACCCAAAGTTTAAAAACTATATAAATTTTAAAGTGTTTTGAACATTTTGGATGAGTTTTTTAATACTTTGTCCTTATTTTAAAATATTAGTTCCACCTGCAATCTGAATACCAGCACAAACACTTGAAGTAAGTTATTAAGTGTTATCAATTAGCCATCCCTCTGAGTTAATTGAATTTTGCCAATATGATACAATATTATTCCAAAATTTGCAATCAGATATATAATCATAGCAAAATAAGCAACCTTCAGGACATTCCATAATCTCAATTTTGAAATCTCGAAATCCCATGATTCCTAGAATTAAAAAATTTATACATTATTTGGATCTTCATCTAAATTTGAAGTCATTAATAATACAAGAGATTAGGAAGTATGTGATTCATGAATATAATTTAAGGATGCAGATCGCACATAGTAGCTAATGCCTCCATTATTACAAATAAAACTTCCTTAACTCCCCCAAAATTTCTCTTTATATATACCATTATCGATTATCAATTAGAATTACTCATTATCCCAAGTGTTAATTCTAATTACAACTTATGTTATAAATCCAAAGAGCGAGTGAAATTTTTACTTAATAATGCGGTGGAAGTTTAAGATTTAAAGAAACAAAAGAATTCGCTCCAAATACACCATGCCCTCCAAATACATCTTACCCATCACAATTACTTATTGGGCCACTATATAAATTATTCATAAACCAACCTAATTAGAAAATCTAAATAATACTATCTGTTCCATTTAAACCTGGGAATAGAGAGTAAATAGTACTCCAATTAGGTTGAGATAATACTAAGCAAATTAGGAGGAATCCCAGATAGAAATTAAAAATCATAAACTTTGATTTATTATATCAATAACTATTATTATATTATTATTTATAAGAGGGGAATAAATATTAAAAATTTATAAATCAATATATTAACGATTAATAATGAAGGGAGAAATTATTGTCAAATAAATTAATAAAAATTTGTGAAATAATAATACTTAAGATAGGTGGAGATTTCAAATGTCGTTCAGGTATTTTAAATGTACTATTTAAGTATTCAATATAGCAAAGTCGAATTATTAATAATTCTTTTATAATACAAAAATGATGATATTCACATTAATCTAAATGTTGGTTTTAATGTTGAACTATATTATTAAATATCATAATTATATATATAAAAACATATAAAATTTATCTTAAAATTTTCTAGAAATCATCTCTTTTATTATTTCTTATTAATTTCTTCATAAATATAAATGTTATTTCAGGTTAAAATTGTGATTTTCCCATCTCTACTTTCACATCTATAAACCTCCATCTAATCTAATTTCGAAAGCTATTTTTCCAGTGGAAATTTCATAAAAAGATAACTTAGATGACATTATATAGCTTTCATCTTGAGATATAAAATAAATATCCATAATAAATTAATCTTAAGAAGAGATCCTTCTTATCAATTTATTTGAATTTGATATTAATGTATAATATAAACGATTCATTCTTGATGCTCTGATTTATTGAAGTTTAAACTTTTTTGTAATTGAAATATTTTAATATTTCTATGATTAATATTGTCGATATTTATCTAAAAGTTAATATTATATAAGTTGAAAATTCTGAATAAATTAAAGTGACATTAAATCTTTACAAATGCTTAATTGAGTGTTTCCATTTCCTTTCAATTTAATTATAAATGTGATTACTTAAATAGTATTATCTAAATAGGAAAATTTCTTTAAAATTTAACAATCACAAAATGTTTATTGTTATAAGACAAGATATTTATTGATATCAAATATTAGTCATAAAAAAATAAGTAGTTTCAATTATTATAATTAATACATTCAATAAATGAGGCTTAATTATTTTCTTCTTAAAATTACTAATCATTAGAAAATAAACTAGAAATTTAATCTAGAAAATAGAAAACATCATCTAAGTATTAAATTAGATACAAGAAATACTGATAATTTATGTTATTTTTACTCTATAAAAAGCAATATTAACATTAAATTAATCCTATATTGGGTTAAGAAGTTCGAACAAAAACTAAATTCTCAATTTTATGATCATTCTTTTTATGATTTAAATTAACTTCTTTTATGAGAAAATATAAAATGAAGGTTATTCTCTTATCTATATCATCATTTTTACTTTTAAATACATTCTAAATGTTATTTCAAAAATNTATAAAATTTATCTTAAAATTTTCTAGAAATCATCTCTTTTATTATTTCTTATTAATTTCTTCATAAATATAAATGTTATTTCAGGTTAAAATTGTGATTTTCCCATCTCTACTTTCACATCTATAAACCTCCATCTAATCTAATTTCGAAAGCTATTTTTCCAGTGGAAATTTCATAAAAAGATAACTTAGATGACATTATATAGCTTTCATCTTGAGATATAAAATAAATATCCATAATAAATTAATCTTAAGAAGAGATCCTTCTTATCAATTTATTTGAATTTGATATTAATGTATAATATAAACGATTCATTCTTGATGCTCTGATTTATTGAAGTTTAAACTTTTTTGTAATTGAAATATTTTAATATTTCTATGATTAATATTGTCGATATTTATCTAAAAGTTAATATTATATAAGTTGAAAATTCTGAATAAATTAAAGTGACATTAAATCTTTACAAATGCTTAATTGAGTGTTTCCATTTCCTTTCAATTTAATTATAAATGTGATTACTTAAATAGTATTATCTAAATAGGAAAATTTCTTTAAAATTTAACAATCACAAAATGTTTATTGTTATAAGACAAGATATTTATTGATATCAAATATTAGTCATAAAAAAATAAGTAGTTTCAATTATTATAATTAATACATTCAATAAATGAGGCTTAATTATTTTCTTCTTAAAATTACTAATCATTAGAAAATAAACTAGAAATTTAATCTAGAAAATAGAAAACATCATCTAAGTATTAAATTAGATACAAGAAATACTGATAATTTATGTTATTTTTACTCTATAAAAAGCAATATTAACATTAAATTAATCCTATATTGGGTTAAGAAGTTCGAACAAAAACTAAATTCTCAATTTTATGATCATTCTTTTTATGATTTAAATTAACTTCTTTTATGAGAAAATATAAAATGAAGGTTATTCTCTTATCTATATCATCATTTTTACTTTTAAATACATTCTAAATGTTATTTCAAAAATTTATTCCAAATTAAAGTGAACTAATCCATTATTTTTATTATCATAAAAAATAATGTTCAATTATTCCTATATCAGAATTAATCAAAAATAGAATTTTTTAATATTTTACATATCAAATCAATCTAATATTATTTTATCATAAAAAAGAATTATAAAAGGTTAAGGTTTTAGAATAACATAATTTGGAGTTAACAAGCATTTATTAAAAACAGTAGTAATAAATATTTATCTTGCATACAATGATATTATTGTAATTAATATCTAAAGCAAAATCATTTAATCTCCAAATTAGGTTATATTTCTTTTTTACTATAGATATTTTAGTTAATCAGTATTAGACTGAAATTTATTACGAAGTCATTTATTTTACTTAAGATGAATTAGTTAGCAATATGAAAATAAAATTAAATGGTTCAAATACTGGTTCTATAGGGTTCTAAATTATCCAAATTTAAAAAATAACATTACCAAATTATTAACTCATAAGAAAAGTTAGCATCAACATCATAATTTTATGATCGTATTATAATATTCACAATAATCAATTCGATAATTTAACAATAATAAATCTATAGATTTGAATTTTAGTATAATTGAAATTTATATTAATTTATAAAATTTAAAATGCAATCAAAATAAAATATGGAATAGTTTAATAAATATTTTTATCTTTTATTAACATATACAAACTTAATATTTTTATTATCTTTGATAAAATGAACAATAACTATAGCCAAGATAATTATTTGTTAAATAAGGATACTTTAAAATAATATGAGAATCCCTCACCATTTGAAACATAAGATGAAAAAGCTTAGAAGATGGATTAATTTCAATGTATCTATATTTAAATTATTTAGAATATATTGAATTTTCAGATGATTAAGTTAGAGTTTATTTTCTAAAGAAAGTGTACATTTTATTGACAATTGAATTTTTTATAAATTTGGGAATGGTGGCATTAGGATTATACACAGAAATGCTAAATTGGTTTGTGAATATGAATTTCGACTGTTGGTTACCTGGACCAATTGTGTGCGATTATGATCGTTTTAAATCAATTCAGTGTAAGAGCAATGGAGGAGCGAGTTGTAATATTCATCCCACGCCTACTTGGTTATTCTATATTTCTTTAATTATTTCATTAATATTATAATTTACATGTTATTTTGGAGGATAAACCGCAAGAAAAGTAAGAAATATAATACTAACCTTAGGCTCCTCTTCATTACGTAACTTTAATTCTATATATTATTTTTTTTGGATTTACATTGACTACCATATGCATATTTATGGCTTTAAGTTTGGGAACCATAACTGTTTGGTTAGTATGGGGAGATACTTTTCTTGTAATTGCTGCAATGACCTTTTATGTATATGTAAAAAAAAGCGAATTTCCTTTCAAAGGTATTCTTAATTTCAAATTATAGATGGTGCAATTTTAATTATTAGCACTGCCATGTTAATGGTCTTCATTAAATTATTGATACAATTTGTGTTCGTATTAGAATACTTTTATTGTGCATTATTCAGTATAATCTATGGATTTTATTTAATGTTTGAGACTAAATTCATAATGGGTAAAGGAGTAATATATTAATAAATATTTTAAGAAATAATAGTTGACAATTGATAATTATTTGATTGGATCCTTGTTACTCTATGCCCTTATTATACAATTTTTAGTGAGAATTTATGAATTATTAGAAAAGGTTTTTAGAAGAAAATGAAAATTATGATAAATCATTAAATATATTTGGACAAATTTAGTAGATATTTTACATATCCTATAGCAATTAAAATAATTTGATATTTTAATAAATAATATTTAATATTTATTTGTGTTTAGAATAGGAAGGAAATCCAAACTCATTTTGATTAGGATTTTAATGAAGAAATAATGAAATTTGATAAATTAAAGAAATCATATGTTCTTAATTCAATACAATATTTGAAAAAAATATCTTATTTAAATTAGAAATCCCTTTAAATTTCAGATATCTATAATTGTGATATTATAAACTAAATATGTTTTTAATTTAATTAATTTATTTTATTCATTATCATCCTTTTGAATATCATTTTAATATAAAACTAGATATTATTCATATTTTTAGTTGATTTCAATCCATTCTCCACTTTTCAATCCATTTTATTCATAACTACCACAACTATTCTAAAGTATGATCAAATACATTTATTCTTTTTATTCTTCTCTAGATTATATTATCATTTTTCATTATCCTAATTTTTTCCCTTACATATATTTTCCTTCATCCAAAATGTTGAATGAATATAAATTAAAATTTTCATGAACTTCTGTTCATCTTCCTTATTTTTCTCCATCTTTATTATAATTACCTCCACCACTAATAATTCTAATATTACAATTATACATTTTATCATTTTAATACAAAATATCCCATTATCCTTATTTTAATCCATTTATATATTTTCCTTTAAATGTTATTTAAGCATATCTAATACAATAATTATTTTACTAATCATCATTCTAAAATATTTCAATCCAATCTCCATTCCTTAATCCTTGTCCATTTTCCATACTTTATTCCATTCTTATAATATCCATTAAAAATAGTGAAATGAGATTAATGAAAACTATTACTTAATTCACTCCAACATTCATTCTTTTAACCTAAATTATCATAAGTGCCTCCTCTATAAAGATAATAAAATTAATGCTTTACATAGTTAATTATTATTCATTTTATTCCTTTATATGAATACTCCATTCTTTAATCCATGTTAATAATAACCAACAAAAATTTCTTAAAATTCTCTATTTATTTTATTAACAAACAATAATTACTCTTTATATCCATTTCCCATTTTTAATTTCCAACTAAAATTCTCCTCCACGACTAAAAATAAACTAAATACAAACATTAATTTATTTTTTGTTAAAATGGAATCTTCATATATAAATTTTTTTTAGCATCCAACCTTATGTCCACCTTTATATTTGCCAATATCAATTATAAATTGATTTTATTAAGGTAATATTTCATCGCATAATTCTATCCATTAGCCTTCTTTCACACCTAATTCATTATTATTTCCTCCACCACTTAATATAATTTAAAAATTATATTGTAACAAATTCTTTTGAATTTTTCTTTTTTATTTTCCACTTCCTGCATAAACTATTTGAAGTTGAATACTAGATTAAATTACTTAAGTAACCTATAGTTGCTACATGGTTCAATCCAAAAGTACTATTTCCTTCCATATAATCCATTTAATTCTAGAATTTATTTTCCCCAATAAGCATTCCAAAATGCAATTTTTTATTTAGTTTCATTTTCTTCTCCTTTCCATTTTAAATTAGATAATTAATCATAATTTGTAATTATCTCTTTAATAGAATTTTAGTCATTATAAATCTCATTAATTAAATAATAAATATATACATCCTTAATATCTTTCCATCTGCTATATAACATAATTTTCCTTGTTAAAACTCAATTTAAAAGGCTTTTAATGTATTTTCATTTTAAGAAAACCCTAAAATATTAATTAAGCCTGTTCTTTAATTTAATTTCATAATACCTTGCTAAAATATTATCAAGTGATTTATATCAATAAAATCTCCATGATTAATTCCTAATAATTTAGAATTTTGAAAGACATTAAATCTTTATATAGATTTAATTTTTACCCTATTTATTCAGAATTAATTGTCTTTATTTTTTCTCTCATTTTAATAGCTGTACTTTCATATTCCTAAATTAGATTATATTTTTTTCATAAAGTATTTAATTGCAATATTGTTTTTGTTATTACCATAAATTGAGATGATTCAATTATAGAATTTCAGATATATTATAAAGATTAGAATTACTAGATTCTTCAATGTTTGAACTTAACAAATCTAGAAACTATTTATCTATTTTTTCGATCACTTGAAATATTTTTTTAGAAGATTCAATCATCTCTTCTTCGATCAAGGAGGAGAATCTTTATTGTATTTAAGAAATGCTTATTTGAATTCATGTTTAGCTCTATTAAGTCTAATTGGATCATTTAATTAGAATTCCTCTATATTTTGTTGAAGTTTATTTTTAAGAGTCTACAAAGGAAGTATTTAATTTCCTTTTATAATATTTTAATGTTGATATTAACATTCTAAGCAAAGTTTTCTTTGGCATTGATGTAGTCCTATGCATATATGATTACCAATGAATTAGAATGATTCAAACAATAAACTAGATTTTATTACATATTAATTTAAATATCATGTTTGATACTAATTAAATATATATATATATAAATTGTAAGAAAACAGATTGCCAGTTTATTTACTAAACTTTATCCTTATAATTTTAAACATATAATTTAATTTTATTATTTCAACATCTCATTAAAATAAGAATTAATCCAAGAGTCTTTACATATTATCTATTTTGATAATTCCTTAAATAGCTTAATCTTTAAATATATCTTTAAACCTATAAAATACATATAAATTCTACTTCATTTATTACGAAATTTATAAAAAAAATTCCTAAATATCAAACTAAAATGTAGATTTTATGATACTATTGCTAAACTAATAATAAAAAAGAAATCATTTTCATGAGATTATATGAGAACTATTAATCAACGAAATCTAACTATAAATTATATTTTTAAGAGCCTAAAAATAGTAAATTTATTAATTAGTTCTCCTAATAATACTATCTTTTAAGTTATGAGGTCTTTAGATTTTTATTTTAAATTTAGAATGGCTTTGTAAAAATTATGAAATCTGAATTAAGTTCATTGTTATTCATATAAATTTTAAGGTTGGAACAAAAAATATAAATTATTGTTAATATATTTATCTTTTAACAATTCAAATATTTTCTTTATTTAAGAAGATTTATATATGGTTTAGAAAAAATGTCTCTTTTACTAAATCAAAAAGCTATTCATATTGTAATATAAAGGTAATGCTGAATTAATACTTAATGTTGATTTTAGGAAATAAGTATCAGAAAATCTAAAAATAGATTAATTTAAGAAATTTTATAGAAATTTCTATAGGGATTCATCAGCTCTTAATAATAAATAATATTTAAGTCTTGTGAAAAATAAAATTATATCAGAAATATTTTTTCTAAGGATCATAAAGGATATATAATAATTTTGCGAGATTTTTAAATTAATGGAAAAATAAATGCTTCTTAATTATTAATCTTTTGTCCTTTTTTTAATATATTCAAAATTATGTTCGACTTTGTAATATAATTAGTATTTAAAAAAATAGCTCAAAAATAGCTCTATTCCAGTATAGAAAGAGATAAACGAAATAATTATGCTTCATCAACATAAATTAAATATACTTAACAATAAATTCTTAGGCAATTAGTAAACGAGGCAAAAGAATGATACTAAATATAAACTAATTAATATAATGAAATTTCTTTTTTTTCTTTAATATTAGCCTAAGATAGAATTTAAAATTTATTGAATATTTTTAAAGTTCAATCTTTAGAATAAAATACAAAATGTATATTTTTATTTCAATAGGTCTACTTGTTTTCAATCACAGTATTATAATTGTTTAAGAATCAAAGATTGTTTTAATATTAACTGGTGAAAATTGATTGGAAAATATCAATAAAAAAATAAAAATAAATATATTCAAATCAATTTTCCATTTTTAAATATTTATTTTATACTTCAAATCCACACTTATTTTTGGAATTCTATTTCATCTGAATTTAAAAATTTCCAGTAACAATTTATTTTTATTTTTAGTCTGTCTATGAATTATTTTGTAGACTATAAATCATATCAAAAGGTTACTTGTATTATGTAATCTATTAGATATATTATTATTATTATACTGTTGCTCAAAATTATTGATTTAATTTCTATTTTAAAGAACATTAGAATAATTTCTCGCTAAATTTTCATTATTCTTTCCTTCTTAATGAATATTTATTAAAATATATTAGACTTATCTATTAGTAACTTGATTGTTTTCCAAAAATTGTCAAACATTTTAGAATAAATCATCATGAGATTCAAATTACTTTTAATTTATTAATTTACAACTGATACAGCTGACTTTCATTACCCCATAGTTATATTTATTTAGAAATATAAGAATCTAAATATTTTATAACTGTTTTGATCTAATTTTGATATTTATTAATATATTGCCATAAGTACTATTTTTTTTCTTGTTTTTATTATTAATAATCTTATAAATATTAATTAATTTTGTTAGTTATTTCTATGAGTTTTTATTGAAATTGTTTTCCTTTTCTTTGATGGTTATTATTTTTTCATTTTCATATCTGATTTATTATCAATTCATTTAAATTCATAATATTATAACTGACTATTAATTCATCTATTTTAGCTTCTTGTATTGTTTCGTAGATGATTTAATCCTTTTTTTTCTATTTATTGTTATAGATTTAAGGATTTAAAGATTTCTTTTTTTATATATCTTATTTCAAATTAATTAATTAGCTATGCTTTGCTTTTCTTTTCTTCTTTTTTAATCCATTTTCCTGAATTTTTAATTTATTTTCTTGTTCTCTATAATAATTATTTACATTAATTGATCTATTTTAACTTTAATTCATATATTTGATCAGTTTTTCTGTTAATCGTTACTTCAAGTTCTTAATAATTTTACTATTCTTTCTTTTGATACACCATGTTTTAGTTTTACTACTAATATATTCCTTAGGATTCTTCTATCATTTAATATTTAAGTTGTTCTATACTAATACCAACCATCAAATTTTTATATTTTTTTAGTAAATATCTTTCTTGTTTTTAGTAACTGTCTATCTCTTAATGTTATTCTAACATATCTTGCATGCTTTATAATTATTCTTCAAAATTCTATGAAATATAAATAAGCTAATTTATTGTTTTATAGATAATCTTTGTTTCTGATTGAATTGATAGTTGAATTCTTATTCATCCATCTTTAATTTTCAACTTACTAACCTTCTTATCTAAATTTATGATTAACTAAGGAGAAAATTAAGGATTTTTGAAATTATCGATAGATGATTTGTATTTATGTTAAAGAAAAAATAAATTTCTTAAATGAATTTTGTACTTATAATTAAATAATTTTTCAAACATCAAATAATAAATACACTTTTTAGAGCAATTTTATTTTCACCCTAAAGTTGATTGTCTCTTTTCAAAATTTGAAAGGTCTATAATCTCTCACTTTTTCAAATTTTAAAATAATAGAATTTGATTAAGAGAAAAATATGTCCAAGATTTAAATTTGTTTATTAATTATGGCTATAATTATTCTTATAACCTTTTTATCTTCTCTTTTTTTAATTTTAATATAATTTAAAAAATATTCAAATCTACTAATCCATTATATTTATTATAATATGATTTTTATCAAAATTATTTTGAATCAAAGATTTTTCATAAATGGAATAAATTATGATATAATCAATAAATTAAATCTGATTTAATAATACTAATTAGATATTAAAAAAAATTAATTAATATGAAATATAAATAAAATTTAAAGTCTGTTAAATTAGAAATATCATGAATAAAAATGAATTATTTGTTATTTTAAAGAGTGAATTAATTTAATATTTCCTAGAGTAGAGAATTTTTTCATAATGGCATAACTAAAAATAAACATTGATAATAAATTTATCTTTTAAAAATTTATTTAACAATATTTTTCCAACATAATCATCTATATCACCTAGATTTTTATGAAATCTATATCCTTAATACAAAATTATTTGCTGGGAAGACTTTGAATACTGTTCTATTAATGGATTAACTTATTCCTATAAATATATAAATTTGTTCAAATAATAAGTTTAATTATTTAAAAATACTTAATATTAAAGATTAATATTAAAACTAGATATTTTAAATTCAGAAATAACCAATTTAAGTAAATAGAGAACAAAATTTGTTAAGAAAAGAGTATTGCCATTCAATGAAAATCTAATTTTAGCTTATAATTTATTTAAAAATTATATCAATATTAAGACTATATATTTACAACATTAAGGTATGTATGAGAAATTTGAATGAGTTTAATAACAGTATTTAATAAAGTGAATAGAAATTCATTGAGTTCTTATAGTATATCAATAAAATCTTTAGTAAAGAAGTTCGAGGAAAAGAGTGCAGTGTTCCTCCACAAAATATCATGAATGTTGACTGAAAATTAAGACAAAAATTTAGATTAAGGTGCATTATATTAGAGTTATCTTATAATTGTAGAAAGGATATACTAATTGCAAAGAAGTTTATCGATTTATTTTTTATGTTGTATATTTGTATATTCTAGTTGAATAGCTTTTTAGGAGAGTACTTAAGTTTTAGAAAGTATATAAAGGCAGTTATGAATATAGATACTATAGTATAACCTGAATTGATATACACTCAAGAGTGAATATTGGATATTATATATTATATATGCATTAATACATAAATCCTTTCACGCATAAAATAGAGAAAATTGAATTTAAAGTTTAGATAATCGATATCCAAAATAATAATTGACAACCTAAGATAATATTTTAGTTCGTATTAATTCAACATTTTACTCCAGGATAGTCATTACTATAATATCAATTTTTAAAATTAGTCATTTGCATTAAACAGTAACTTCATTGGTATTGCTACTGTTAATAGTATCTCACACTTTGCCATATTCCTTGGAAAAAAAGAAGAGGTATAATAATAAATAGAGAAATTAGTGGATGAGAATGTATAAAAGTAGAGAATTTTGCATAGTAAATTAATGTTGATCTATAGAATACTGTATCAATGGCAGCTAAGAAATAAAGACCAACTTAAGGTTAGATGATATCAACTTAGGGAGATGTTCAATCAAAAAAATAGATGAAGTTAACAGTTGAGTATTTTTATTCAAAGGCATATATAAAAATTAGATATTTAGATTCTATAAAACATATGGTTAGTGAGGTTCAACAAAAGTTTAGTTGCTTTCTATAGATTCTAAATGATTAATTTATATATATTAGATGATAGTATAAAATAGTATTCCATAAATAATGGTCTCAAAAATAGGTGATAGAATAAAGAAATATGTAGATAATTGAAGTTTCTTGAAAATAATAGGGATGATGGATATGGCAAAAGATATATGATATTAGAATGTGTAGGATAATACATAGAATATAGAAAATTAAGTATAAATAATTATTATGGATTATGGACGTAATCAAAAGAGCAGAAATTAAACTTCAAATAGGCAATTGAAATTTGGATTTATTAATATTAAAATTAATGAAATCATACATCTTGTTTGCTATTCTAATAGGTTTCGGTGCAACTTAAATTGTAGTGAAGACACAAACTATCTGTGGTTGTACACAATTAACAAATCAAAATGATTGTGCCACATTACCAGGTTGTATATGGTTAGAGGGAACTAACTAATGTTAATAGAACAATTGCTCACTATTATAACAATCTGATTGCCTAAAAGCATCTTTTTATTGCCAATGGAATCCAAATTTAAATCCTCCTTCATGTTCAGTATTTATATCATGCGTAAACTTAACAGCTAACGGCAATTAATAATGTATCTAATAGAATATTAGATGCCTTGGATTTAATACAACATCAAATTAATGTTTATATTATAGTGAAATCACATCTAATTGTATTGATTTCCCATAAGATATATGTTCCTATAATTTTGGTAAAGATGGACCTTGTTATTGGATTAATGATTAATGTTAAGTAATTAATCAATGTTCGTATGCTCAGCAAAAAGATTAATGTTAATAACTTAATTTATTCAATTAAGATTCTCCTTAAGGAATAGTATGTTAATGGAATGAAACTCAAAATAAATGCACAGTTATAACAAATTGTGGTTAATTTACAAGTCAAGATACTTGCAAATACTATTTTTCAAGTTTGAATTCTATCATATTAAATGTATGTGTATGGTCTTAAAATACATGTGTTCCTATTACCAATCTTAATAATTTGACTTCAATTAATTGTTTATCAAATACAGGTTTATTTTTTAGATGGTATGGATTATAGAGTAATCTAAATTCAGGATTTTGTGGTCCTTGCAAACAAATATCATTAGCACCAAAGGCTTAATGTACTTGTTCTGATTATGTCTTACAATCTGATTGTAATTCATAGAATAGTTTATGTCAATGGAATATATAAACTAAAATTTGTACTTTAAATACATGTTCTTAAATAACAACATAAAATATTTGCATAACAGTGGCAAATTGTTACTGGAGCTTCAATACCAATACATGTCAAACTTTGTCAAGTTGTGATGATCTGATATTTAAGGTCAGTTCAGTTGGATGTGCTGCATAAAGTTTATCATGTGCTGGTTATGAAGGAGGTAATTGTATTAATACTTCAACTATTTCTTCTACTTGCAGTAGTTAACAATAATAAATAAATTGTTCTTAATTTATTAGTAGTTAAGGCCTTTGCGTTTGGAATAATTAGAATTATTCATGTTCACTATTATAATACTGTAATTAAATAACTGATGCTACAATTTGTGGAAATTGGTTGAATTAATGCATGTGGGATGCAAAAATTTCATAATGCTAATAATTGACCTGCTCAACTATTACAAATGAATAAAGTTGTACCTATGTCCTCTCTTAATTTTAATCAACTTAGTACTAATTGTGTAGATGGAATAATTCACTAGGACCTCAAGGAGCTTGTTAAAATGCTTATTCAGCTTTATTATAAACTTCATAAACCTGTCTTAATAATACTGGTAACACTTTTAGATGGAGCACCAACAATGAATCTGCAGGAATGTGTGTTTCATGTGGTACTATATAATTGTCATTGTAAACAACATCTTCTTGCCAATGTTCCTAATTATAATCCAAAGAAAATTGCTAAAACACAGGATTTTGCACTTACAACAATCTAACTAACATTTGTTCATCATCACCTTGCACTTAATATGAAAATTAGATTACTTGCGCTTCATTAAGTACTTGCTATTGGAATAGTACATCAGGCTGTTAAGCCTTCACTAATTGTTCTTCATTAACAGCAACTAATTAATTAGAATGTATCAATATGAATGCTTCATGTAAAGGAATCAGCTATGGTAATTGTTAATCCTTCCCAACATAAACTTGTGCTACTATGTACACAACTAGTGGTAATTGTTATAATAATATTGGTACTGATGGAGTTTGTTTCTTGAGCATAAATGAATAAACTACTACTTAATGTATTGGATTTTCATAATGTACTTAAGCCACAAATGAAACCTTGTGTCTTAGAAATCAACTTTCATGTTCATGGAATAATCTTAATAATATGTGCTCTTAAATTAATTGTTCATCATTCAAAAATTAATTAAATTGTAAATTCTATCTACCTAATCCACTCTCATCTGAAGTCATTCCATGTGTATGGAGTAATAATATATGTGGACAAGCTTCTGATATTTTAAAATAATTAACTTAAAATACTTGTGCATCTAGTACTCATAATACTTATAGTTGGATAACATTATCAACTACCAGTGGATATTGTATCAGATGTTAATAATTGGTCACACTACCTAAATAATGTATCTGTTCATTTTTATCCTTATATGATTGTTCCTAAGCTCTAGAATGTTACTGGAATAATGGGTCTTGCTTATAATTGCAATGTTAAAATATAATTTAATAAACTATATGTGCTTCTTAAATAGGGTGTTATTGGAACAACAATTAGTGTAACTTATTTCATGGTCAATGCTATACTTTATCAGGAAAGAATTAAACTGAATGTATGTAATAAAATGTATATTGCGTTGGTAGTAACGGAATTAATTGCATTGAAAATCTTAATAACTGTGAAGCAAATACATAAGATTCATCCTGTCTTACATCTCTTGGAAGGGATGGAGCATGTTATTGGAATAAGTCAACCAATAAATGCATGGCTGTCAATTCATGTTATTAATTACCAGAATCTGCATGCAAAATAAGATCTAAATCTTGTTATTGGGATGCTACATAATGTTAAACTTTAACCTGTAGTACTCTCTATGCATAGTTCAATTAATGTACTTTTGTAATGAAATTATCATCCTAAAATTATGTTCAGGTATGTTAACTACAAAATAATGAATGTACATAAATAACTAATGTGTTGAGTTTATCTTAAGATCAATGCTATCTTAATACAAATAAAACAGCAAGATGGATTCCATAATCTTCAAATTATGGAGGAATTTGTTATTCTTGTTCTGCTAATATGATTCCTACTTACAATTTTCCAACATGTTAATGTTATTAATACATGACATAGAGTGATTGTAATAATGCCATAAATTAATCTTGTATTTGGATAAATAACATATGTACCCAATAACCTTGTTCATAAATTTCTAGCAATTAAGTTTGTGCATAAACAATAGGTTGTGGATGGAATATCATTACAAGTGTTTGTGAAAATTTCACTTCATGTAATTCAATCAGTGGTGTGGGATTGAGTATTTAATTATGTCTCACTTATTCTACTTAATGCGGAGGTTACGATGGAGCAAATTGTACTTCATCCCCAACGATTACTTGTGGATCAATGTCACCATCTACTTGTAGTGGTACTTATGGATCTGATGGTATATGTATTTGGAATCCATATATTACTGATTCGTGTATAGCAGTAACGACATGTAGTTAAATAATTATTTAGCAAATTTGCAGTTATTATTCTGATTATTGTTATTATGCAAATAATTAATGTTAATAACTTACCTGTGCTAATTTTACAACACCTGCATCATGCAAATTTGTAATGTCATTACTTAATATTGGAGAAATTTAATTATGTCAATGGTCGACAAATACATAAAATCCCTCTTGTATTAATTTGGTTACATCTTCAGAACTTAATTCAGTTAATTGTTCAGCAAATACAGGATTCACTTATAGATGGGTTCCAACAATAAATTAAAATAGTTCAACACTTAGTAAAAATGGTTATTGTACTAAATGTTTGATGAATATCATAAATATACCTGGATAATGTGCTTGTAACTAATTAATTTACTAGTATGATTGTTTATCAAATCCTTAATGTTCTTGGTCAACTGCTATCACAACTCCAAGTTGTTATAATAAACCTTGCAATTAAATTATTTAATAAGGAATTTGCAGTTCAAATCCAAGATGCTCTTGGTCAGCAACCCAAAATATATGTTAGCCATTTTCATCATGTTCAGATCTATATGGTGTTAATTCTGGAGAATGTTCTAGTTATTCAATTTATTGTGCAGCAATATCAAAAACATTTTTACAATTTTAATAAAAATATATTTGTGCACCAACACCAAATCAATGTTCAGTTACACCTTCTTAAGGAACTGTAGGAGGAATAACAACTGCATCAGATTGTTAAAACACTTATGTTAATTTTGGTATTTGTTAATATAATCCAAATAACTAACAATGTACTAAAATTACTATGTGTTCAGATATTTCAACTTAATAGCAATGTCAACAATTTAATCATGCTTGTTTTTGGTAACCACCAATGAAAACAACAGCAACAGCTTCTTGTGTAGCTGCAAGCTGTAACAATTTTACTAATTAACAATAATGTACTTATATTTTAAATTCCTTATCAGCTACTAATGTTACCTTATGTTAATGGTAAACAATTGGTGTTTGTATTGAAAGTACAAATACAAAAAATCTCTCTTCAACAAACTGCTACTCCAATACTTTAATGATGTCAAGATGGAGTTCTACTTAACCTAATTCTGGTTTTTGTGCAACATGCAGCTCATACAGTTAAAGTCAAACTTACAAATCTCCATGTTTTTGCAACGAATTATCCTAATAAGAATGTTTATTGGCTTCTCCTTAGTGTTCATACAATTCAATTACTTCTGCTTGTGTTGTCTAAAACTGTTAATCAATTATATCTTAGTATTCATGTGCTGCAAATCCTAATTGTATCTACATTGGAAGTTGTCAAAATTATATAAAATCACCTACTAGTACAACTTATGGATGTGCAAATATCACCACTGCTTCATCTCCTTTTGATTGCTTAACAGCTTCAGTAAATTGTCCAAAATTTGTTCCTGATACAATCTCAGGAAGCCTTGGTAAATGTTATGTAGCAGAAGAATGCAGCAAACTATTAAATGGGGCTGTATGCAATAATTATTATAATTAAGCTGTGGCTGGTTATTGTGTTTGGTATGATAATTAGTGTTAAACTATTAACAATTGCAAATAGATTATTGATATTGAAGTTTGCAGTTTATAAAGCAAAAGATGTTAATGGAGTGTTCTTTTGAATTCTTGCATCACTCAATCATGTAATTCATACACTAGCTAATCTGATTGCAATTATGTATACACCTCCTATACACTTGGAGATATCGCTCTTTGTTACTGGGATTCCTTCTATAATGAATGCAGAAGTGCAAACCTATCATTAGCAAAAACATTTAATACCACTAATTCAACATAATGTTATGTAAATACAGGACATGTATATCACTTGAATGGAAATGATTGTATAAGATGCTTCTAAGACATTTTAAGCATTTTTCTAATAACCATGTTCCTCATATTAATTTGATTTATAAAGATCAAAAAACATATTATTTTTATCATTTCTTTTTTACTTAATTCTTTATTGTATTCCTTTTTTTTTAGAGAATCACAATAATTTAATGTGTATCAATGTTTGATATGAGTTTCATTTTATTAAATTATTTAATTTTTATTTTGAGATTTGATAAATAAATCTCTTTTTTTTATATCATTTATACATATCATAAACATAATAATGGTAAAAGTATAAAGTTTAGTTAATAATTCTAACAAAAACAATAGTTCAATTAAGCTTAATTCTACCTTAGCACCAATATATTTATATTATTCTTTAAAATCTATTATTTTTTTTATTAAGAAATTCATAGTATTTCAATATATTAATTGTTATTAATATGGTTATCATTTAAAAATAATTATATAAAGATCTAGTATCTAAAATAATTTATACGGTTTGAGTATAATATTTTAATTAAATTATACTTATCAGTAATTTTTTATTCAATATCAAGTAGAATGTTGATAAAAATGAAATTAATCAGCTTTTGATTAATCATCTATATTTACTCAAAAATTAAAGTAATATAAATTTCATAAATTACAGTAATAATGAAATCAATAATTATCAATTCTAATCAAAATAATAAATATTTATTAAATTATAGTAAAATTGATTAATTTAAAGTTAAGTTATCATAGGGTATCTCTAATTTTAATATTGTAGTTATATTATACATAATAAAATTAATCTGTTACATTTATATATTAATAATTACAAGTAGCAATATAAATTCAAACAAATGATAATTCATATATTTGGCATTCTTTTATTTCTGGTTTAATTTATCCAAATAAATCTGGATCATAATTACCATATTTATAATTAGGAAATGAATATGAAATACCTAATTTGGAATAACCATCTGCAAAGTCACTTCCTATTTTAATATCATATCCATTACCAAATGAAGGACCATAATTTGAATTACAATAAATGGCATATTATTTAGCATCATACTTCAAAGGATAAATTTGATCATGGGATTATGAAAATATGAAAGATGATAATGTATGATCTGCTACGTATTTCCCACTACATGATTCCCATATACAAGGAGAGTATCCTCCAAAGATATGATCACTTTTAGATTTAAAGACCATAAGTAAATTACCTTTGCCATTCACCTTACTCCAATATTATTAATTATTTAACCCATCTCTTGTGCCTTAATAGATCAAAATTGAATTTCTGATAGCTTTATTAACTTTTTAAGCTAAAGTTTTTAGTAGTGTGATCCAGTAATAATCTTGAAGTAAATCTGGTTTTAAATTTAATCCTAATTTATCAAACCTTAATTAAATTTCTTAGATCTTTTAATTTATTTATTGAATTTAATTTTAATGGCATATTTATTATTCTCTTTATTTTTATTAACATTGATCATTATTATTTTTTTCTCTCTATAAATTTTCATTTAACAATTTCTATTCATCTTTTTATTTTTATAATTCTAATTATAAATCTGTTAGCTTCTTAACTAATGTATTTTCTTTTTCACTCTAAATTATTTTGTTATTCTCCATAGAGTTTCCTAATTTATTAAAAAATCTTCTTACTCTCAAATTCCAAATTTTTATTATTTTATTTCAAAGTTTCTAGATCATTCACTAATTTGTCTATTTCACTAAACTTCTAAAAATTTAAAAAATCTTTATCAAATTTATCCTTATAATCATGTACTTATATTTGTAAGTTTTTAAAATTTTAATGATCTTGAAATAATTTAATTTTATTGTTAATGGAATTAATTTTGATTTGGTGATCTTAAAATTTTTTAATTGTTTGATTAAATAATTCCATCTAACAATAAATTTATTTTGAAGAACTAATAAATTCATCCAATTCTTGTTTTCTAATCTATTATTCTTAATTTACTATTTTACCCTCTTAAATTATTTGTATAAGTTTGTAAATACCTTGAATTTGGTTGTCATCTAATATTAAAATATTCTTAATACTTGATTAATCCTATAAAATATTTATTGACTCTTAAATGTCTAATTAATCATGCTATTTTAATTATTCTAATTTGTTTTCAATACCTTTAGAAAGTAGAGAGTCTTTAGTTATCATAAACTCAATTTTTGAATCCTAAAATAATTGTTCTTCATCAAATTGAATTAGATTTTAAATCTGTAAAAACAATTCTTCCTTACTTAATTATTGTATAGAATCTTATTTAAATTTATTAACCTCTGTTGTTGGAGTTGTTGGGACTGAAAATCCTGTTCTTAAAGTTTCACTAATATCATCTAATTATAATATGTAATTTTATCTCATTTCAGCTATTTTTTTATTCAATTTCTCTTTTTTTTTTAACCTATTTGATCTTAAATCATTAAAAATAATATCTTATTTTTTCATTTTTTCATTCCATTTTTAATTAACTTCTTCTATTGTTCTATATTAGCACAAGGGATTATCACTAATGCATTATACACAAACAAATCTATATTCTATTTATTTATTCTCGGATTCTATATCAATCATAATTATTTCTTTTTTATGTTTTTGACAAAGATTGCTTAAACTTAAAGTTTTCTTAATATTTGTATAATATATTTACTTAATTATTTTAAGTTTGCAGAGACATTAATTCAATTTTATTTTCTTTGTTTAAATTATTTATATTCCATACAACATCCTTAAAAGTCTAAATAGTTTTGTTATGTGTTTCATTTTAAAAAATGAGTTCAAATTATTTATAGATGTCATCAATAAATTTACTATCTTATGACAATTCTATCTAATTTTCTTAGGTTTATAGAAATTCAGATAATTATCTAACATCCTCTTAGAAATTGGACTAAGTTTAACAATTTTCTTTTAAAGATTATTATTCTTTTTCATTCATTACTAATTATTTTTATATTTCATTAGAAATCTTATCCAAAGCTTCATCAACTTTACTTTTGAATTTCATAATTTATACAAGTAGGATTTTTTAATTATCTAAAGTTATTTAGATATCTTTTTTCCTTTTGTTTAATCTTTATGACTTATATGATTAAATTCTATCTGATGTCTATTCAATTGTTGATATATTATTATTATTCATTTTCTCAACTAAACAATTACAACACAAAAACTCAAATTATCTATTTTCTAGTGAGACTAAATCTATCGCAATTATTTCAAGTTTATGCATTTGGCAAACCATTTTTTCTCTATCCTCAGGCACATAAGTAGCTAATATATTCATAATTTTTAATAATCCTAATATTTTTAGTATAATTTCCTTTTAAATACCAATCCTTATTCAAATTCTATTAAATAAAATTTATTTTATAGTATTTATTTAAAATATATTATAAATATTAATATTGTTAATAAAATTATCATAATAATTAATATGCATTGTTTAAAGTCTTTATGCATAAAAAATGAAAATAATGATAAAGAAGATTTCATATTGTAAAATATTTATAAACAACTCTTAAATTATCATAATAAGAAAAATGATTTCCTAATATATTCAGGTAGAACATCATAGAGAAAAATAATATTAATCCCCATATAAGTAAATTTACTATTATGGTTTTTAGTGAGCATTCTTCTCATGCCTTTATTAACTTGGGCAAATGATTCAAATCTATTATTGAAATCCTATTTTAATCTTCAAGTAATTTATGCAATAAAAGTTCCGATTGAATAAATGATATATGGAATTAATTAATAATCAATATTAATACTTAACAAAACTTAAGAAACATTTGGAGCAGTGTTTTTTTTTCTAAGTTTTGGAAAAGTATAGTATACAATTTGAAGGTATAAGTAAGGCGAAATACTTGTTATCTTTATTATTTTTATAATAAAAAATTTTCTTTTTATTATATACTAAAAATTTATACCTAATTTAATAACTTCTAGATCATTAGGTTTGAATATATATTAAATCAAATCCTATCATTTTGAGTCAAAATAATCTATAAAAAAAATTCAATTTTTTTTGGAACTTCAAGTTAGAAAATTAAAATACTGTTAATTTTCTTTATTTAAGATATGAATCAATACAAGTTATTCCTAAACATTCATATTTTGTAAATCTTTGATATATGTAACTATATTAATATCAAAATTGATTTAATCAATTGCATAAACATTATAAGTTAATAAAATAGTTAAATATGAATCTGAATATTTTAGTAAATTTGATTCAAGTCTTATCCTATACATTGCATCCAAAAATCTTTGAGCTTTTTCGATTATTAATATTTTGAATCATTTTTTTTTCAATGTTAACTTAATGATTACAAAATGAATTGGCTATTAACTTAAAAAAGTCAAAATTAAATAAATTTAATTTTGCAATTGATTAAAATTCATTAATTTATAAATTAATAAACTCAATAAATTTATCCAAATTATAAATAGAATTGAATTAAATAATGATAAAGCAATTGATTTAGAATTGAATCGATAAATTTTATTTTATGTTTTTATTTGATATAATAACTTCAAATAATAATAATAAAACTTTTTATTAATTATAAAAANTATATGTAACTATATTAATATCAAAATTGATTTAATCAATTGCATAAACATTATAAGTTAATAAAATAGTTAAATATGAATCTGAATATTTTAGTAAATTTGATTCAAGTCTTATCCTATACATTGCATCCAAAAATCTTTGAGCTTTTTCGATTATTAATATTTTGAATCATTTTTTTTTCAATGTTAACTTAATGATTACAAAATGAATTGGCTATTAACTTAAAAAAGTCAAAATTAAATAAATTTAATTTTGCAATTGATTAAAATTCATTAATTTATAAATTAATAAACTCAATAAATTTATCCAAATTATAAATAGAATTGAATTAAATAATGATAAAGCAATTGATTTAGAATTGAATCGATAAATTTTATTTTATGTTTTTATTTGATATAATAACTTCAAATAATAATAATAAAACTTTTTATTAATTATAAAAATTAACTTACTTATTTCTAGTGTCAAAGCATTGAGTCGAAGAAGAAAACCTTCGAATTAGCCAAGGCAGGGCTGTCTAAACAAAGAAAGGTTAATTAGAGGTGACATCTGCCTTTACTATTGAAGATGACTTAATAAGGGCCCCATATATGAAAAATTCTATCCTCTAAGCAGTTTATACTGCATAGCACCTTTGGCTTAACAAGTAGAAAATCATAACTTATGGAACTTTATTTTTGTGAAAGCCTTGGATAAGATCTGACAATTTCCGAATTCACATAGAAAATCCTTTTTGGATTAACATAATCAATTTGAATATTGCATCACTTAACTAATAAAAACACCGCTAATAAGTGAAGGACTTAATCTTTAGCCAGTAGTATAAATCAATCTAGTCCACATTCTAACACCCCCTAAATCATAAAAAATAAACTCCCGAAAACGATTAATATCTTTACATTTTGCAAATTGGCTCAATCAAAAGTGATCTCATCACAAAAATATGATCAAAAAATGAATGATTATTTATAATCAAATGATAATTTTACAGCTTTTAGAATAATTTCTTACTGAACCTTTATATTTTAGGATTTAATATTTTTGCATTAAAACAAACAATTATAATTTAGATTTAAAATAATAAAAATGAATTAATATCTAACAAATTTTTTGAACTACAAAACTTTAAAAATGCATAAGGAGCAAAATAATCATTTTTAACAAAAATGATAACATCAATGCAAATTTCATAGCAGATCATCAGGACCAATTTGTAAATATATGCTTGTTTATGAATCAAAGAGTTTTGATTAAAATAATTGTGATTAATCTAAGTCGAAAATAATTGTTATTCAAAAATGGTTATTTAGATAAGATTAAAATAATTATTTGAAAAATGTTAGCAATCAAATTTGTTTAATTGCCAAATCCTTGAAAAGAAGTTAAAATAGACTCATTAACTAGATGACTTCTCTCCATTAGCTGATTAGGCAATTGAGAATGGACTAATTCGATCGAATTATTGAAAATAACTTATAATTTGACTCTTCTAATAAAGACTCTTGGTTAGGTAAGGCAATAAGATTAACTCTGTAAAATATGACTAAAGGATAAAAGACTAGTATTTGAATGAAAACTATATTTTGTAACCATAAATTATTGACCATGATATTAATTTGGGGGAAAAATGAAGCCTTTTGAACTAGAATAAGAAGAAACTCTTGGAACAGACTTAAACAAAATTAAAAAATCATAAAATCTTATTTTAAATTAAATTAAGTAAAACCAATTTAAAATAATATTAATAGTTCTTCCATTTATCTAAAATTAATAAAGGCTTTAATTTTTAGTTCAGTTCAGTAGGTTTACAGAAAAGATGGTTTAATAAAGGAGATGATCTTGCATATTAAGAAGCTTGACTTGATACCCAACTGCCTATATTAGCTGAACTAGAAAACGAAATTAGTAAAATAATTTTCCTAAGAGAATTATCAAAATTTTATGTTAATGAGTTTTCGGAATAAAAAAATGTCTTATGTTGTACAAATTCAAAGTAAAGAGATTGTCAAGAAAACTTGATCTTAAATTAAGTTTTAATGTGCATTTGCTTTTTAGAAATACCTTAAATTATATCCTTATCCTCCTGCTGTATAAAATATTCAGTATCAACCTGTTCCAAAGAAAGTCAGTGATGAAGTAGTAATAAATAAAAAAGTAGCTATTTAATCCTTTATATTGATTAAGGAAATTGTAGGAATATATAAATTGAATATCTTTATAAATAGAATATTTTCTGATATCGAACTATATTCTTTAAGAATTAGGATGATTATTTTTACCTGTGGTAATGTAATGGCAAAACATTTAAGCAAGGCTTTCTTTATGATTTGAAGAAAAATTAAACATTTGCTGTGAGCTTTAAGAAAGATCTTATAGCATCTATAATTATAAGATTCGACGAGATTATAACTTCAAATATGATTGTTTTGATGTTGAAGATCTTGAATTATTTTAAGGGTTAAAAATAAAGTTTTGCTTTGCAATCAGAATTTAATATTTTTACTCCAAAATCCTCCCATAGTGGTTAGATATAGGAAATTGAATAAAGGAAGTAGAATTTGAGAACGCTTATTTATTAAGATGTTTGTCGATCCTTTCTGTACAATTTTATATAATGCATTTAAATTATTTTTTATCTAATCCTGCTGCCTTCCTCAACTAAAGGTCAAGATTAGGATTTTTATCTAGAACCTTTTGGTATTTGATTCATAATAGGCTTAATAGTGGTATTATTCTAAATAATTAGTCAGGCTATTATTTATTGAATTTCTTAAGAATTATGGATACTGTTTTAATATATTCCATTACAGTATAAAGATAGATTTAAAATTCTTCTTTTTATATAAAAGAGATTTGAAATGAATGATTTTTGATCCTAGCCAACCTTTGATCTCTTTAAATGGAGTGATAAACATATATAAAATCTAAGTAAAACTTAGGCAAAGGATATCAAAATAATAATCATATTTATGAGCTATTCAAAAATTTACTATAAAAACCTTTTGTAATTGAATAAAATATTCAAACAAAAAAATACTTAATAAAAGGGTCAACTCTATTTTTGCTCATCGATTTAATACCTTAAAATTTTGATTTTCTAACTGTTCCCATCTAAATTTACTCTCATTAATAAAAATTTATTCCTATATTTCTCAATAAAGTTAGCTAAACCGACACTCAAATATTAATTATATAGTAATTTTTTGATAATTTGTTGAATATAGAAAGGCAGTAGTTTATTTTTTAGCCATTAATTCTCAAATATAAACTAAAAGGGTTTTCTTAAATCAACTATTAGAAGAAAACGAAAAAATTGGAAGTTTATGAATGAGATTGAAGATTTAGAAACAGTTCTAACACTCTAGGATTAAATTAATAAACTAATCATGATCATAATTGTTTAAAAAAGGCAAATCACTTTATTGATTACAGATAAATCAAAAGAATCATAAGGAGCACAAAATTTCTTCCTTGGCCATGGCTGAATAAATATTCTTTGAATATTGGTTAATGCAGTCATGGCCAAATAATACTTACAAACACGTCTTTTTGCAAATTTCTCCCAACGGTCTTATTAATTTGCAATTAAATAGATTTTTTTTATTATTAAATTTACATATGCAAAATCAATATGATTCTTGCAATTATAAGATTTTTTTGCATGAAAAAAGTTTACTATAAGCCAAAACACATAATTCAAAGCCTTTATTTGACAGAATTCATCTGATATAGATATATAAATAATATTATTTTAAGTTCTATTTGATTAGATGGTACTAACTTAAATTAATTATGAAAGTTGACATGTCGAATTACATCAACTATAATATATAAACTTTTATTGGAATTCTTAAATATAACTTCGATAAATTAAAACATTTGTATGATGAGCAATAATTTCAAATATTCTACTTTCTTTCATACATAATTTTATGTTCCATTACATATGCCGATTCAAACTTTAACTATAAACACCAATTAATATATTAAAATAAAAAAAAATAATTTTTAGTAAATAAAATTTTATTCTATATAAATAGGGAATACGATTTAGAGTTGAAATCAAAAGAGAAAATATATTATTTTAGAATTATAACTAAATTTATTATTATTTGAAATATTTGAATGCCTTTCAGTCTCAATTATATTGCCAAATTTGCTCAAAATCATTTATGTTGAAATTATCATCTTCAAGATTAAATTAATTCTGAAATCATCTTTTATCTAGTATGCGTATGCTGTCAAGATAGAAAAGAATCAAATATGATAATCTTATCTTATACATTTTATTTTATTTATGCTTCTATTTTAATCAAGACAGAGAATTTATTCAAAGTGTGAATAATTAAATATTAATATAATGATTTTCAATCAGAAAATTTGTATATTCTAATTTAGAAGAACTTGAAATCCTCTTTAAGATTTTTCAAAGATCAAGAGTTTAGTAGAATTAGAATTTATTTTCTAAATACAAATATTAGACTTAATAAAATGGTTATCTTTTTAAGTAAGTAATCTTTCTCTTATAAGTTGAATCAGTTAAGGAAGAATTATTGTAATCATTTTATGTCGTTGTTTAAAATACTGAATAATTAAAGTATATCAGGATAAAAACAGTGCTATCTGTTAAACATTATCATAATAATTATGCCTAAAATTTGCCATCATTTTAGAAAAGTCACTTTAATTATGATTCTAGTAATGACCTTATATAGACTTTTCATGAATAAATCTTCTTTAGCTGGATTTCCAAAAAATAACAACTTTAAGGATACCCTGATTTTTTTTAGATTACATGGATCTCATATAATTTAATTCACTCAAAAAAATGTCAATTTTCAAAGGAGTTAATCAATTAATAATTCCTTAAACTGAATTACGTATAAAAAGGACTAACTATTAATAATAATAGTATACAAAATTGTTAAATAGAGATTTTAAGCAAAAATTTTCATAAAGTAAGGTGAAGCTTTAACAATTACTTATCCCCTTATTACAATGAAATAGTTAATTTGATTAAATAATGTTCATCATCTATTCATTTGTTATCAATCTCTTTAAAATACCTTCATGAAAAGATTTTTGTTGTAAACTTCGAATTTTATACTATTCTTCTTTCTCATCTAAGTTTGTTCGACAACATGTAATATCTTATTATAAATTATCCTTTTGAAAACCTTATATCTTAATGATTACATTTTTCAAACTAGTCAACATCCTCGATCCAAAAGAACACATTCTTATTTACTCTTTTTAACTTGCAAATTTTGAATAGATTATCTATCATTTAGCCACAGAATCAAAAAAATCTTTCTTTTTGAAAGCAGCCAAATGAGATATCTTCGCCAAGGAGCCCAAACAACTTCTGATTAATTTAAAGTATTAGAGCTGATTAAATATTCTAAAAAGTTTTACAAATCCAGAGACAAATATCAATCAGTAAATTTATAAATGGTGGCATTGAATTTATATACATTTTTAATTTTACTATACATAATTATTCTTAGATTGGACTATTTTAAGGATGAATACCTAATAAATACTTACAATAGGCTGTTTTATATTCGATAAAATATAACATATTATATTTTTAAGCAAACTTGTATGATTTTGAATTTTGAAGCCAACTTAAGTATTAAGAATTAGACTCCCCTTTAAATTAAAATTTAGTTTTTTTTAATTAAAAACTATTAAACTTTTTTCTATGTATAAAACTCAATCTCTTCACAAAAAAATTTTAATATTTAATTAAATGTAAAAAGCAAAAATGATAGAAAATGAAAAAGATTTTGAATGTTAACACAAACATGACTAACCGATTCTTTTGGTTGTGCTTGATCCAAAACTAGACAAGAAACAAAGGTTTTTATGCAATAAATGTATGGAAAACTTCGAATCAGATGCTAAAACTATAGGATTTTAAAAAATAATATTGATTAAAATATGAACAATTTACAAAATATTACTTAGAAAACAGTGCAACAATTATCAATTTGTATTGAAAATATATAAGAATTAAAGACATAATTGATGAAATTATTTGATTCTATGATTAACATAGCTCAAGATTGGACTCAAAATCTATTAGCATAATGTTAATAATTCAATGAATATAGTTTATATGATGAATTAGATTCCTTCATTAAGAATTAGAATATTAATTATACATCTAATATAACACTTATCAATAATATTAATAAATCTTGGAAGACTAAATTATCTAATAACTTAAATTAATATATTCAACATAAAGATAAACTTAACTTTAAATAGATAAAAGAAAAATTTATTAACATTGATTGTTCAAGTTTGTCAAAAAATAGTGAAATCAAATTAAACTTAATTGATTAATCTTTTAAATAAAATGTGGATTGTTATGCAATAGTTTTTGATTCTACTGGGTCTATTATGGTATCAACAGAAAATAATGATATTAAAGTATGGAACTTTTTAAATGGAACAATTAAATTGATTAAAACATTGTAAGGACATACTGAATGGGTTTAATGTTTAGTTTATAGTAATAAATAGAATTTCTTTATTTCAGGTGCATAAGACAATACAATAAGATGCTGGAAATAATTGGATTAAACTAATTGGAGTAGTTCATAACCTTACGAATAACATAAAAATTTTGTAAGATGTATTACATTAAATTCAAATGAGGATCTACTATTTTCTGGAAGTGGAGATAAATCAATTAAAGTATGGAAGGTTGATTTTAATAAAAATATATTGACATACATGTATTCATTAGATAAACATGATAATAGTGTTATGGCATTAAGTTTAAATTAATCAGAAACATAATTAATATCATGTGCATAAAATAAGAATTAGATTATAATTTGGGAAAGAAGAGTATAAGATAAGTTTGAATTCAAACATTTTGTTACACAGTCAATTTAAGAAGAAGGACTTAAGATTAAATTTATTAAAGATAATTAATTTATTTGGATAACTGGTGGTAAATAAATAGATAAACTCTATATATTTGAATTAAAAGAAGGAGTCTTTTAAGAAAATTAGGAGAAGACAATTCAATTAATTACAAATAATTAGAAACCTGATGAATATCATTTTCCAATAATTTACAATAAGGAGAGGAATTTAATTGTAGTAAGACATAAAACCTATATTTATATCATTATAGAGATGAATAATGGGAAGTTCAAAATAGTTGATTAATTGAATTGTGACACAATACAAATTTATGGAACTATCACAAACAATGGATAATATTTGGTCTATTGGGATAAGAAAAGTCAAGCATATTCAACATATGAATTATTAAATAAATGAATAATTATGATTTAATATATATTGAATTTCTTTTCCTAATTATAAGTAATCCAAATTAGAAGACTGAATAATTTTCAATTTGGAATTATGAATAGATGCAGAAATAAATTAGTAGTCATATATAAAAGAATTAAAATTATAATTCTATAGAACAAATTTTTTTGACTTCATGTTATAGCTACTTTAGAAAAATGAGCAGATTAGAAATCAAATTAAAAGTATGAAATTAGTTTAAATCTCAAATAATGAATGATAAACAATTCAATACCTTTATAATATGCTACAATTTAATAAAATTGTAATTCATATAAATGGAATAAGTTTTGATTATTATGCAAGATAATTAAACTAAAAATAAGAATAAACTAGTTATTTTTTGACCCACTGTAATCTATTTTTGCTTTATATAAATATTTAAGAATAATTTCATCTTCTAGAAAATTTTTATTAACTTGTATGAATGAATTCAGATCCTATACTTAAATAATACATCACATTAAATTCATTTTATCATTTATAAGAGAATAAATCTAATTTGAAATAAATTTGAAATAGATAAACAAAATTGTTAAACCTTTATGATCTATTCTCATACTTCTAAAAAGATAAATTATATTTTAAATTATTTTTTTTTGTATTATAAATTTTTTAATTCGATATTTACTTATAGATATAGAATTTATATCATTTAGGATCAGTTGAATTATTCCAAACTTCGAATAATTTGCTCCAGTTTATAAATAGAAATCTCTATTTAACTCCCAAATTGTAGTCCATGAATAACTAATAATGGGGCTACAAAAGATTAACTAACGGAAAAAAACAGTTAATAAATATGTTTGTTCCATGTGAAGTTTGGAAAGATATAATGATACTCTTTTGATTTAATATTTAGGAATAAGACTTTCGGTGAGCTGATAAAACTAGTCTCTCTTAACAACCTCATCATCATATTATAAGGGTGCTTCACCATTATAATATATGCATATCATTTATTTAATAATTCTTGTTTTAATCAAAATTATTTAACACATAGTCTTGGGTTTGAGGCATTTTTTCATAATTCAAAACTCTAATAAATGAACTCCATTAAACTCTTTACATTTTCAATGATTGTTGAAAAATCAACCAACTATTACGCTGAGAAGTCAGGTAGTTTCTTCACTCTAACTTGAAAACCCTAGCAAACAAACATATTTTTAATTTTTTATTTGGTAGAGTTCAAATTTCGGAACTTATATTTTATAATTGATAATTAGGTGAGTCAACACTTAATTACATTTTTTCATTTCTATATAAACCAGATTATACCAATATTTTTACATCTTTTTAAATATACTAGCCAAATATATTTGTAATAATTAATGATAAACAATGTTAAGCAAAACAACAAAAAAGTATTCTCATTATATAAAAATAATTTAAATATGAAGGAAAAAAATTTTCATTTTAAGTTTTTTGGGCACTATATTTTTAATAATAATTATCTATAAGCCTTTTCAATGTGTGATATTAGCATTATATTATTTCTTTCAAAAAATTATTTCTAATAAATATGCCTAATTGAGGAGGTGAGGGTATAAAATGACAATCAATTATACAAGAAATACAAAGATAAAATAGGAAACATAAAGATTATATGCCTAACTTCGATGTAATACCCAACTGATATCAAGAAAGAAGGATGATTCTTATTTAGTATATATACAGAGGAGATAAATAATTTAAAATTCTTTTAGCACAGAGAAAGTATAAAATTTTTGCTTAAATTGTGATCTTGAAAAAAAGATATCATAATTTAGGAAATGGAATAGTTGATTGGAATGTCGATAGAAAAGTAGAACAGTAATGCCAATTAATTAAAGATAGGAATCATGAAGGGTATGAGTGGCAGAAGTAATGGAGAATTTGAATACTAATAATTATGTCATCAAATTAGAGGTCAAATCTAATATAAAGAGGACTTCAATAGTAGACTGAGGAAATAAATACAAGAATATAACACGAGAAAGAATAAAATGAAAAAGAAACAGTGGAAAAGACAGAAATTAAAAGGAATAATTTTTGGTTAGAGATTCAAAAAAATAATTATTTATAAAACTTTTAGGCATTTCAGAAAAAATAGACAGTTTATGGTAGTATATCATGAGATCATAAGCTTATTCTAGTTACTCTACTTTATGAAAGAAGTGACTATATTAAAATATAAGTTAAAGATAATGCTAACTTGTATTTTGTTGCCAGAATATTGTTCGCTTGAGTCTGATCATTCTATCAGATAAAAGTCTGGCCAATGACTTGGAGAGAAGTTTAATCATAACGACCATTCCTTTAATAGTGTCAATTTGTAAATGATTACATACTTTATCCTATATTTAAAAGGAAAGAAATTATAATATTATATTTTATAATATAGCTCAACTCTTGTTGGGTGGACAAGGTGGAGGAGATCTCTATGGAGACTTTTATTTAGTTCTCGCTTACTTTTCACATATCCTACTCTGTCGTTCTACTGTCATCGGGTACTGGTATGAACAAAAGGTCAAGGTCAAAAATGCAATCTTTATTTGAGGCTTTGAAATCTGCTCTATAGGGATCCGAATGCGGGCAGAATGACTTGTGCATCATGGGGGCAAGAAGTTTTTCCTTCTCTGAGTAAATTTGATACCAGAAAAAGGCGATGAGGAAAAGAGGACAGGCAAAGTGGTTGAAGATTGCTATCAATTGAGGATGAGTGCTCAACTGTGTATTAGAGTTAGTCCAACCAGAATGGCGATATGTAGATTCCTTTTGTTTTCCTTTGACTATTATTCAATGAGATTTTTTTATATTTATTTGTTAAGACTCCATAAAATAGAAAAGTAGTCACAAATAACAATTTTTAAAATTGAATAATATTAGACATTAAGAAAACTAACATTATCCAATAACGCGGAAAGCAAAGCTATTGTTGATGTAGAGTGTTATTTATCTGAAGCCTTACTGACTAGTAATGGTTCGAAAATTAAATATGTTTTAAGCTGGTCCTTTTTTCTAAATTGATATTTTATTATAGTAATTAAATCATTTTTATAGTAAATATTCAATGCTAGTTCTTTATCATAAATAGAAAATATAGGATATATTGAGTACTAGCATGCTCATGCAACTCTATGGAATGATCAATCTCAATAGCTTTTAGTGAATCACTGAAAAAGGAAGATGAAGCTAGGGGATATTAATGATTAAGAATTTATCCAATCATGTGATAAAATCGAGCACTTAAAATTTATGAGTAAGTTTTGCATTCTACTAAATTTTAAATTCTAACAAATACTAAGAGGAAATCAAACCAAATAAAATATATATGATCAATATTTCTTCCTATGATTCAGAATCTAAAGAAGCTATTGGGAATTATTAGGATATGTAAAAAGGTAGCTGATATCTTTGGGTATTGATTGCCTAATTGATGCAGACATTATGCTTATTCATTAGGATGACTGAAATTATTATCACTTTATTCTTAATTATGTATGGATGGATTAAGCCAAGATCTTAATCCCAGAAGTGAAACTCAAGACATTGCTTATCAAAGGTAAGAAATTAAATTGCTTTAAGCTCTGATCTCCAAAAAAAACAATATAATACCGAGTGAAGGACAGAATTCGTTTTTTAGAGTAGGCGAAACCTTATCTTTAAGGTCATAGTTTTCTAAAAGTGATAAAATTAAAATCTAATTTGACAAGGAATCTTGAACAAGATTTTTGTTTTGTATTACTTGAATCATAATTCTCCCTATATTCTATTGGAAATCACGAAGTAGGACTATTTTATTCATTAATCTCATTTGTCATCATTATTATAGAATTTCTAAATAGATTTATGTGAGGAACTAGTAGGAGATATCCTATGATTTCATATATTTTACTATTGAACTTGGTTACAAACATTGCAGGTCCATAAATTTACCCATTGAGATTGAAGTCTAAAGCACGTATAATGTTTTTTAATCTTTGAATTAATTTTCTTCAATTAAAATACATTTTAAATTTACTTGCGAGTTAATATATATATATATATAATAAAGGCCATAGATTATCAAAATATTATAATGTTTTTAGTTCTAATCAAGAAAAATTATATTGTTCCGATAATTCAAAATATCACAATTATTACATGTCATCCTTTAAAAAAATTTAATAACATTGCTATTTAATAAATAGCTTTATCGTGGATTGGAAACCAAGTTTACTGCGTTTGCTTAGGCTTAAAAATTATTATCTACCTGTCTTCAGGTCATCAATTATCCTTTGTCAATATTTATTAAATATTGCGCTTGGTAAATATTTTAGGATTGAGAAAGAGAAGTCAAAATTGGAAAAATTCTCAAAAATGTAGTTATGATTTAGTTAAGAAAAAAATTTGACAAAGTCTCAAAAAATACGGAGAAAAGTTACCGAATAAGAAATGACTAATCAATTTTCTCAATCTACTGGATAAAGATGATACTATTTCAAACCGTAAATTGAGAGGAAATAGTTCTTTTTGTAAAATAAATATTGTTAATTGTGAACTGTCCTTTCTTTAGCTCACATTATTTTAAATCTTAATTGAAAAAAATATAAAAAAAGGATATCTTTAAAATAAAACAACAAAAATAACTAGATTAATGCAAAGGTTATTTCATGATTTAGAATTAATGAATTTAAACAATTTTTTTCAAATTTGAAAAGGCCTTGATCTTAATAAACATTGATTCATATGCTTAATATGAATAATGAGAAATAATTAAAGTGACAACTAAGCTGAACAAAAATGGAATAAGCTTAGAAATCTCAAAGAGAGATCGCATTGAATTGAGGCTGTTATTTTGATAGAGCTTAAGGTAGTATTGATTGATATGATATGCTTTAAATTCCCATTTGAGAAAAATAAAATAAAATATTAGAAACATAGCTTATTGTTTTACTGATTTAATGGGCATCCTTTGGGTAAATAATAATAAAAACTATATTTTTGGTTGATAATGTCTTTATATCTTTATATAGAAATTAATTCTAATTAAGTATAAATATAAATAAATTTTTATTTAAAGTTATGTTCATTTAAGAGTAATCTATCATCAATTATTAACAATAAATCCAAAAATACATTAAATTTTATGACATAAATGTTAATTTTAATTATTTTTTAATCTGTGATTGACAATTTTTCATTTCTGAAGTTTGTAGATGATATTTCCATATTTAGTATTAGTTATTCATTTAATTCCAAAAAATTAGATATAATCATTCATTATTATTATTATTGACAAATCCATAACTATATTTGTTAAATGAAAAGTCAAGAAAATTTTATCTATTAAAATTATCAAGTTCAATTTCATCCTTTTCATTTTATTATAAAGCCTAAATATTATGAGCATGAATATCAATTAATATCTTACTTTTTCAATAAAAAGTATGGTTGAAACATTAAAGAAATTATCTTTATTATCTTTATCAATAACTTTGAATAGATTAAATTGATGATTCTCAATTTAACATTTAAAGATTATAATCTTTGATCTAATTAAGCATACAAAAGTTCCTTAATCAAAAAATTACAAGCCAAAGCATTTGAACTTTAACTAAATATTTTGGATTATGTTCCATTTTGATTTATCTTATTTTATACTTTCATTGATTACTAGTATACATGATTAATCATCAATTTGCTGCAAAAACATTTTAAAAATTATTCTGTTTCATTTAAACTTCATTAATTAATGAAATTCAACTTTATATCTTTATTTAGTACGAACCCTGATTCTAATTTTTGATATATTTTTTATTCCTCTATTTTCGGTAAATATAAGAATGTTATCATTTTAATTTATTAATACATCATTACAAGAAAAATTAAATTATCCTAGAAGCTATTTCATTTGAACTTTGCAATTATTTAAACTACATATAGACTAGATTGGTATTGATCTTTGAATGAAACATATTAAATTAGATTTTTTCACGAATTACAATTATTTTGGAATTGTAACTTACCCAATCTGCAATATTCTTTTATTCTTATTATAAACTTAATATTAATGTCTTTTACATGGTTAATTCTAACTTTACTAAAATATTAAAAAATCATAATGGAAGAATCTTTATTTATAGAATTTATCTAAATATTTTCTCTCTCTTTTGTAATTTCAGCATTTAATTAGAAAAAATTATTTGGATCAAATTACTTTCTATTTTAAGATATATCCTAAAAATTATTAGTATTAATAAAATAATTTTAAAAAGAATAATATAAATCTGTTAAATGATAAATTACTTTCTTTGAGAATAACTTGTAAGATTAAAATAGTAATGATGACTTTCTTAATTTAATAAAATCTAGCTCATTCTCAAATATTTAATGATCATCTTACAATGTTAAATTTATCTTTCATTAGTTGTCTTAATTTACAACAAGGTAGACCTATAATTTTCCAAAATCCTAAGAACTCTAAGAAATAAATAAAGTTCAACTATATGTATCTATAAATTTGAAAAAAAAAATAATTTATAATTTTTATTATTATAGGTTTATTATTTCAGTTTTAGATGATGATCGATAACAAATAATCCATAAATTCATAGTAAAACTTAAGTTATTGGAAAAAATGTTGTTAAAAAATTAATAATATCCTAAGAAAGAGAACTTCAAATCATAATATAGATGGAATCTAAATACAATCTTAAAACTCTAGTTAAATCCCAGAAAATGGCTTTTTAACTTAGAATTAATAAAATTAACCTTAAATAATCTAAATAGAAGTAGAACAAACTCCTAATAATGTATAACATAAAATAGAATAAAATTTTTTTTAGAATAAGCAAGAAATAGGGTGGTGCTTCTATATGATTTCTTGCCCTTTTTGTGATGAAATTATGGCCTAGGAAGTTTATTGGAATCACATTAAGTTTTGTGAATAATAAATAGGGTAATATAATTTGATTCAGCAACCATGCCATTAATGCGGTCAAATGATTGTTAAGCTTTACTTAAATGATCATTTAGAAATTTGTGAAGGTAATTTTTGGACTTAATTAAAATGTCCTCATTGTTCTGTAGCATATTTTAAATCTGAACTAAAAGATCATTTAAACAAATGTTCTACTTTATTAGAATAATAAAATAAAGAAAAAAATGGAATTATTTAATGCACAATTTGCTTTGAAGATGTTCTTTACAAAAAAAAAATAATTAAGTTGTTCTCATTCGTTTCATTAAGAATGTTCAATGTAATACATATTTTTTAATATTTCTGAAATATCCTTATTTAATATATTTATGCTTATCAAGTGTTTAAAAGACCTTTCCCTTTTTTGAAGGCGATCTGAAAATTAGCCTTACATTTTTTTCCTTGATGAATCAATTTGCCAATTTCAAATTCTTAAGTTAGTTATATCAATGTAGTTGACTTGTCAAAAGTCTAAACATTTTAATCATAAGAGTGAATGAAAAATCTTAATTGTATTTCTGTACAAATAATTATTTAATAGTATTGATATTATCATAAAATATAAATTTAGATTCATTTTAATAAATTTGGTTTCTAAATTAAGCTGATAAAATATTACTCATGCATCATCAATTCATTGAATGGAAATATTCTGGTAACTATCATAGATATATTTTATTAATATATTGTTTAATTATATTATATATACAACTACTTAATATTTTAATACTAAAAATTATTTTAGACTAAGAAATCCAATTTCCAAAATTATTAATCAGTGATATATAATAATGTGATTCAAAATCAAAGTGCGTTTTTCAATATTTGTGACAATCTATTAGAACAGATATTCATTGAAAAGTATTTGTTTTGGAAGCTAGAGAAACGCTTAATATAGATAATTTTCATATTAAATGTCTATTGCTGATCAATTTGATTCATTAATTTGTTTTAAGTTCTTCTATATAGTATTTACCAACCTACTAACATAATCCTAAACTTAAATAGGTTTAATGAATTCCTAATACATTTGAGAATTGATATTTATTTTAAATAGTTGTATTAATTAGATAGCAAGTTATTTGTAAATATGAAAGTA